TGGTTACCATGAAAAGATTTTTGACCTATGCTTGTCTTGTTTGGATCTTCGTCATCAACACCCTGATTCGATTCAGCATATTGATGCTGTTGAAAAAAGTGTCATCAATGCTACTGTTGCCCTGAGTATGAAGTTGACAGAAACAATGTTTAAGCCTCTGTTTATAAGAAGCATTGAATGGGCAGAATCGGGCGATGAAGGTAGTGCTAGCACAACTGTGGATAGGGCCATATCTTTCTATGGTTTGGTCAACAAGCTGGCTGACAGTCATCGGTGAGTTAGTTATCACTTGCTGCATATTTATTGATTTTCTGGATTAATAATGGTCTCTTTAAAGAATTAGCTAAGGATTATCTTTAACGTGATGTATTGGAACGCACTATGTGGGTCCACTTTCCCGTTTGATACATATGGATGTTAAGAAGTGCATTGCTTTAAAATTGTAGTCAAATTAATGAACAGGTGTTTGGGAGGTGTTGGGAATAGTTGATTGAGATATGATATTATTTTAGTAGTAAAAACTAATTAATGAGATGATAAATTGTTTGTTCAATAATAATGTAGTGAGTGGATTTCTATAACTGAATATTATGGAGTATATCTTTAAGGATAAGATTCTTATTCGCCAAGTTGAGAATGATTTTTTCCCAGTGATGTGGCTTTAGATTTTGATATTTACATGGTGGCTACCGGAAGTTAGAATGAAGAAGGGTGTTTGTTTCACATTTTTAAGTCGGAATTTTTCTAACCAAGTTTCTTTTCTGAGCCTAGACAAATGCAGCTAATACCCTTTGCCTATTGCAGGTCTCTTTTTGTTCCATATTTCAAGTACCTGCTTGATGGCTGTAATTCCCATCTCACTAAACCACTAGGTGGGAAGGGTTCCACCCAAAAGAAAAAGAAAGCTAAGATCCAGGTGGATGGTACCAACGGTGATGTTGAACTCTCACTCAAGATTTGGCATGTCAGGGCATTGGTACTTTCAGCTCTACATAAATGCTTCCAGTATGATACGGGGAACCTCAAGTTTCTCGACTCCACTAGTTTCCAGGCAAGTCAAATCTCAAGTTGTTTTGCCTATCACTGCATGGTCTATATAACTATGTTAGAGATGTGTTTACAGGAAAGTTGTCAATGCTGTTGCTGATTGTTCTTGCTTGTGTTGACAGACTCTTTTGAAAAGCATTGCATCACAATTCGATAAAGAGCCACCTACTCTACTGCAAAGTCATCCAGATGTACCATCTCTCGAAGAAGTTGATAACCTCTTGGTGGAATCCCTTGGTCAAATGGCCGTCAGTGCTCGATCCGACCTCTTATGGAAGCCTCTGAACCATGAGGTATGTGGTTCTTTTGCCTCGTGCAATATATTTACCCTTCCATTCTCTGTCCATTTCTGTAAAAAACTGAAGAATTTTATTCGTTTGAGTCTTCAAGTCAGGTTTTCCACCCAAGTTAAAAAAAAATACCCTCACTCAATCGAGAGTTGGCACTCACGTTGACTGTTTCCAAATGTTATGAAACTCTGGCAGGTACTTATGCAAACCCGAACAGACAAGATCCGCCCCAAAATTCTCGGACTGAGGACCGTGAAGTACCTCCTCGATAATCTGAAAGAAGAATACCTGGTTTTCGTGCCAGAGACGTTGCCGTTCTTTGGTGAATTGTTGGAGGACGTGGACCTGTCTGTTAAAACTCTAGCACAGGATGTTTTCAAGGAGATGGAGACAGTCGGTGGTGAAAGCCTGGAGGACCACATTGTTTTCTAATCCTGTTTGAAATGAGAAAAAATTTTGAGAGGTCTTTTCGGTTGTTAAGTATACTGTAAACAGCTCAAGGTTTTTGTAATGATTTAGTACAGTCAATGGTGGGCTGTTTCTTCTTCTACTCTTACTATATCAACTGTGAGATGTTCAACAGAAATGTGTATAATCATGGTTAAATTTTAAGGGCTTATCCGAGTTACGGTAGGAGAATGTACAAAAAGATATTTAGTTGGAAAAATGGAGGGACTAGATTATAGATTCTGCAGAAGTTGAGGTACTTAGATTGACATTAACAGAAGGCTAACCGAATGGAGAAAAATGGTGTGTGGTACATAACGATGCAACGTTGTATGGTTTTCTACCTAGCAAAACTGGAAAAGCAGTCGATGGTCACATGAAACCTTCGTTCCGTAGGTAGTTTTGGTTACTGTATTATCTGTGTTTTTATGCGCGGTTTAACGAGCGATCTAATTGTAACGAAAGAAACCTTGTTGTTCAACTCGAAACGACAATCTATCTGGTTCTAATGTGTTCATGTATACAATATGGTAACGATGTTAGCAACCAAATTTGTTAGCACTCCGTCAAGCAACAAAAGTGTTTGTGTTACATGAACCCTAGTTCATCTGGAAGGTTGGGACTCGCTTGAATTTGTTGGCTGAGCCGAGTTTTCCCTACCCTTCTCCGCCACATAGAAAGTGATAGAATCTCAACCCTTCAAATCAACTCGAATTCAGATAGTGAAATCTCGATCGTTTAAGAACGTGACAACTCATTTGGCCGTTAGCACAATAGCTGGATTGATTCTTCATTTTAGACCTTGGTAAATATACTCGTGCAAATGATCTTAACACGACGTCGTTTCGTCATTCGGAGCCTGAGAAAGAAACGAAAATATAGTGAAATCAATCGGCGAAAAACCCCTCTTCTCTTCATCAGTGTCCCCAAACCAAAACCTCTGCTCCGTATTCCCCTTGCCGCCGGTGAATCAGAATCGACGAATCCGCCAAGTCTTCTCTTCGTCCTCCGCCGGCCGAAGTGTTGTTCCTCTCCATTTCCCTCTCTCGTCTTCCTCAGGTGTTACGTTCTTCTCCGAATCTCCCGTTGGAGGTCCGGCGGCGGATCGGAATTTCGAAGCAGGGTAGCGGCTTTCTCCAATGTTACAGCGATGCAGCACAGCGGTTTCTCGTCTCTCGAAGCTTGGGTCGACCTCTTCCATGGAGGCGCTGCGGAAAGATGCGATCTTCACTCCACGGCATTGGTATGCTACGGCTGCTGCTACTGCTACTGTGGCGCCTGCTCCTAATGATTCTACTGCCAAGGGATCTCCTCTAAAATCAGTGGTAACGTACTAACCGATTCGATTATTCTCTTACCCGTCATGCCGCAAGAAATGCTTTCTGGTTTCCTGCGCTTCTGGGGCTGTGATTCTTAGTAGGAAAAAAAAAAAAGAAGAAACAGAATCGCTTTTGCTCTTCGCTAATTATTGAGTAATTGGGAAGCTGTTGTATATGGTATAGTTAGCAGGAGGTTGGAGTTACTGTCTTGTTGATTTTAATGGGTGTTCAAATTTGATATAAACAGGTAAATTTGGACAAAATGTTCTGGTCGAAGCCATGTTCTTTGGCTCTAGCTCCTGATTCCCGGTTCAGAATTGAAGAGCCAAAATATGAGGGATTCCGTCATGTTATCTATAAGATGCTTTTGTTTTATAGCAAGCAGAGCAAATCGATTCGGGGAGCTAATGTGGTGTACCGAAGGATCCTTCATCAAGTAGATAAACCTGCTATTTATGAAGGTAAGTCCATTTTAGTGGTCATATCGATTGCTGATTGTAGCTTGCCTCGGTCAAATGAGATTTTCGTATGGTATGTATGCTATTTAATAATGCTCGATTTGTTTGCATACTTCTTTTCTTTTCTGATCTTGTTCTATTCTGAATGTGGTCATATTTGAAGTATGAGTGCTTTAAATACCTGTTGTATTTATTTGTTGGGTGTTTCCTTTGCAGTTTTCAATTTGGAGAAGACGTTTAAGATGACATTTTCATTACTTGTACTTCACATGTGGCTTTGCTTACGCCGACTAAAACAAGAAGGGAAAGAAGGTGCTGAATTTGGTCAATACATTTATGAGAGATACAATCACGATGTGGAGCTTAGAGTATCCAAAGAAGGGGTAATTTGGTTGAATGCATGCTTGAGAGCTAAATTATCCATTATCAGTTGTATCTAAGATGTTTTTCTGGATGGCAAGCACCCTTGATCGTTTTGTTTTAGACCCCAAGTTATCGCTTTTGGGCATTACTTTACAAGATATATGACAGTGTCTTATCTTTCTGCTTCTGTTTATGTACTCTGAAATGGCAGGTTAACTTGTTACTGACAAAATGGATGAAAGAGTTGGAGAAGATATTTTATGGAAACATTGTTGCTTATGATGCTGCCTTACTGCCTGAGGCTAAACCAGATGAGCTGTCCAAGGTGATATGGAGGTGAGAATAGGACACCATGATGCAGTCAAGGGAGTTGACCTGCTGCTGTGTTCCACTTGGAGCATTGATGTAACTTGAAGCACAAGATTATCCAAATGAACCATCTTTGTATCTTGCTAGTGGAATTTTTCTGTATTAGTCTCTCACAACACCTTTACTACTGCAGGAATGTGTTTGCCGACGATGGTGAGTCACAGCCAGATGATGCTGCATTGCGCACTGTTCAGGTAATGATCTCCTGGCCTGACTTGCTTTTCCCAATAATGTTTTGCAGCTTTTATATCCTATCACGGGCCTTCTTCCTTTTTCTTTTTGGATGTGATCAGTTCCTTCATTGATTAGGACATCATTCCTTGTGTGATTACTTATGTTTAAAGAGGCAACTAACTATTTTACTTTTGTACCGATAGGCAATGACAAGGTACGTTCGTCGAGAAGTCAGTTGTTTTTCATTAACAGGTAAAAGTCATCCTCTTCCTATGTATTCTGACCATATATTGAAATTGCCTTTAGAATCTGAGCTTCATTTGCTTTTGTTGATGTGTGTTTCTTTCTTGGTCAATTGGCAGACAAAGAAGCCATGTACTCAGGGAACTTCATGTTCACGTCCCTGGACAACATTCCATCGGTTTCGGCCAAGAGATAAAGATAAAGTAGATGATGTGAAGATCTTTCAACTCCATAAGAGGTTCTTCTACTAGAGTAGCTTTCATTGTTCGAAACAGTCCTCTTCTTGCTTCATGGATTTTACATAGAATGTTACCGCTACTTGCATACCATTTCATCAGCTAAAGATGACAGGAAAGTGCCCCTTTTCGCCGGGAGGATGCTCAAATCTGGAGGAATCCGGAGAACAATAATCAGACATCATGATACTCTGTTTGTAGTACTATATTTTTCTGCCTCTTTTTCATTCTCATATTCTTCAATGTTGATCTACGATTCTTGAACCCAATCATTGGTGCAACAGCTCTAAAGCTTCCAATAACACAGGTCTAAACCTCGTAACATTAAGCGTCACATTCTGGTTCAGCATGTAAATGGGACTGAACTCCTCCCATCGAAACGACGACGGGTCGGTGAAAACGACATCGTCGGGCGGGTACTGCTTCACCAAACTGCTCTCCTCCCTCTCTATCTTGTACTCCAAGTACCTCACCTCCATACCCTTCGACGGCTCTCCGAAATAGTTAGTCGCAAACCAGTCCACGGCAAACGGAACCACCTGGATCACAACCGCATCCTCCGGAAGAAAAACCATGTTGGTAAGTCCCGCTCCGTGAATTCCCATCATCACGTCGGCACGATTCGCGAGCCTCGCCGATCTCGACACGTTCGAGTCGAGTTCCGTCACCGTTACTTGGTACCCAAGCTCTCTAGCCATCGTCACGATCTCTTCCGTATTTGTGAACGTCCGAGTCTTCTCTCGAGAAATTATCAAAAGTCGCGGCACCAATGTTGTCGTCTTATCGTCTTCTGTTTGTAGTTTGATTGCGGCTGTTTTATTGAGAGAATAAGCACTTCTTAGGAAATGTTTGAAGTCTTTCATCGTATATTGAGTTTCCGATGTGTTGATGCTGAGTTCTTTGCCGTCTCGCCCTTTCAAGCCTAGTATAACTCTTGAGAAGCAGTGGGCTTTTCCATCAGGTTGAACCTTGTCGATGTCTATCACTTCATATCTGAAAGCAAGTTAATTGGATGATTAGTAGAATAAAAGTGATAGATAAATATGGGTTTTAACTTTTAACGTTACTATTCATTACGCGCGGTTAATTCATGACACGTTTAATAATGAGTATAACGGTCCTATTGTTCCGATGGAGAGAAGGACCTATGATTAGCTTTTCAGAAAATTTCCAACAAACAATTTCAACAAGCATTGTTGAGGGACGACACATGGTAAAGAAAAAAAGAACATTAGCTCATGAGTTTTTTTTTTTTTTTTCTTTCCAATTTTTACTTTCTTCTCTATTAGTTTCCAATTCTCTTTTTTGTTTTCTTTATTCTCATCTCCAAACATGAGTTACTATGCTTATATGCATTTTTCGATTAACAATCTTGGTGAATTTTTCAATTATTCGAATAAATATTTTATTTTTTCATAGAGCCATATTTTGGAATATGAATCCTAATTGGCTATCGAGTCCAATTTATTCTCGTTAGGGATGGCAATTTACCCACCCATGGGTAATTTTGCCCCAACCCAAGTAGACCCATTTATTATGGGTAGGGTTTGGGTGATGTGTGTATGGGTTTGGGGTTTGTATATGGGTTTGGGTTAGATATGGATATTATCTAAATGGGTATGGGTTGGATATGGATATCCATTTACTTGAGGGTGTCTTAACTACACATGCAAAAATTGGACTTATTTGTAAAACTTGAAAAATTTAGGTACCAAAATGTAAGACCAAAAAAATTTAGGTACCAAAACGTAATTTTTCATCGATATTTTGAGGACTTATATGCAAAAAAAAATTAGGTACTAAATATGCATATCTATTAAGTTTAGGTATCAAACTGTAATTTGTATTTGGGCATGGGTACAAACTACAAACCCAAATCCATTTGTTATAAACCCAACCCAACCCAAAGTAAATGGGTATGGGTACAAATCCATCAAACTTTACCCATATCCATATATTTGGATTTCATACCCAACCGAATTGGGTTGGATAGTAAAATACCCATGGGTATGGGCATAATTACCATCCCTAATTCTCGTTACCTTATAGCTCAGAAGTGTAGTATTTTAACGGGAGTTTGATTCCCTAACTTCAACCTGGTGTTATATGTGGTTGAACACACACTTTCTCAAACTGATCTTTAGACTACGTCGTTTCATTTACCCATTCACACAAACTGAAAAATGTGTTTGTGTGAATTTTCATTTTTTATTTGGTGTATTATAATATTATTTTGTATTTAAAAACTAGAAATTTTAATGACTTAGTACCTGGATAGTGCCTGCCACATAGTTGCAAACTTGGCAACCTGCAAATGGTGGCCGTCGGTGACGAGGAGATGGAGCCCCCGGTCGAAGGGGCGCGCGGTGACGAAGAGCGACACCAGAACGTCGGTGAAGGCGTGGAAGTAGTTTCCGAAATAGGCTCCCAGAGAGAACAGGAGCGCCGGAGAAGAATCATCATGATGAACTCGACGAGAAGAACAAAGCGGCAAGTCCTGATGGTCTGCCGGCACCATTTTCACCGTCCATTCCCTTATTTGTCCCATGGCGGCCTCGTCGCCGTTTCGCGGGTAGGGCTTCACCGCCGGCGGCGGCGAAGTGATGTCGTTGTTGTTGTTTTGGTAGTTCTCCGATGGGACGACGTGATAAATGTTTGCTGACTTGGGGTCAACGCGGACATCTCCTTCTATGTCACAGTAATCTGATCTCCCGCCGAATCGGCACTTCGTCGCAGCCCGAAACGTTTCGGGCTGTTTTCGCGTAGCAAAAATCATGTCTAGAAATGGAAAAAAAATATCATGTTGTTTAATCATCTTTTACCGTTAGATTAAATTTTTTGTTTAACTTTGTTAATAATGGATCAATCCATAGAGAACGAGAACTTATCCAATGATGACTCACATGTCGCGTATACTTCGAAAGATAATCGAAAGAAAAAATCTCTAAGCATGCAACATTGATTCTAGCTATAGTTAAGTTGGATAAACAATTTAATTCAAGGACTAAGATTGATATATTCTATAGTACAGGGATGCATTTGTTATTTGCGGGTCGAACCAAGTAGGTATTTTTTATGACCCATATAATGGAATTCCATTATTTATTCTTCAATCTTAGTGCAATTAATCAATCTCACACTCATTTGGTATAGGCCAATTACATTTGCACGAGTTATTTGATTCAAAAGAACACAACTGATTCATTTGTTATGAAACGACTCATTTGTCAAACTGAAAACAAAACAAATCGTTTTTCAAAACGGTTGACTCCCGGTTGAGTTATTTGCAAATTACTTCACTTCCAATCATTTGTATCTTCGTTGATCACATACCTTTATCGATGATAGTGGTGATTGTTTCCCGAGGGCTACTTGTTGTTGTTGTTGTTGCAGTCATCCTTGCTTTGGGCTGCTTTTGATTTGCGAAAACCGTATCTAGAGATTACCAAAAAAGGGGGGGAAATATATATTTACTGTTATTCACTCCATCGGCAAAAAATATACATCTTTGCATTATAAAGTTGGCAAAATAAATAATGTGTATCATGCCATTCAATTATCTTTATCGTTAGATTAAAAAATCCGTTCAAGTTTGTTAATAATTGGTCGACCCATAGGGCATAAGAAGTTATCCGATGATGACTCACATGACACGTATACTTGCTAAGCATGTAACATTCTCTAATAAATTTGGATAAAACTTTAAATCCAAGGACTAAAATGGATATATTACATAGTATAGGGATGCACTAGTTAACTTTTTTTAGTCATATGTTATTTGCGGGTCAACAAATGCTTAACAAAATGAATCATTTTCAAAGGAATGCCTCCCAAACGACTCAATTGAGTTACTTGCAAATGACTTCCCCTCTAGTCATTTGCAAATGACTCGTTTTTTTCTTCGTCAATCACGTACCTTTATCGACGGCGGTGATGACTGTTTCCTCGGGGCTACTTGCTGTTGTTGCCGTCATCCTCATTTCGGGCTGCTCTTGCTTTGTGAAAACCGTATCTATCGATGACCAGAAAAAGGGGAACACATATTATACAGTTTTTTAGTCCATTAGCAAAAAAAATATACAACTTTGCATTATAAAGTTAGCAATAAAAATGTATGTATCATGTCATTTAATCATCTTCGTTTTTTTTTCTTGCCATACATTTTAATCATCTTCATTAGATTAAGAATTTCGTTCAAGTTTGTTGATAACTGGTCAACCCAATAAGAACTTATCCAATGATGACTCACATGCCACTTATACTTGCTAAGTTGCTATAAGCATGTAACATAGATTCTGCTACAATTAGTTCAGATAAAACTTTTAATCCAAGGACTAAAATGGATATATTATATAGTACGGGAATGCACTTGTTAAATTTCTTGTTTCATAATATTATTTGCTGATCGACCAATGCTTAACAAGCTAATCAATATCATACTCATTTATCCGCTATATTTGCACGAGTGATTTGATATCAAACGACTCATTCGTAAACAAAAAACAAAACGAACCATTTTCAAACGATTGCCTCTCAAATTACTCGATCAAATTATTAGCAAATGACTCACATTTTGAACTCATTTGCAAACGACTCTTTTTTTTTCTTCTTCGTAGATCCGTACCTTTATCGACGATGGTAATGATTGTTTCCCCGGGACTACTTGTTGTTGTTGTTGCAGTCGTCCTCTTTCGGGTGTTGCTCTTTGCAGACTCTTTATATTCAAGAAAGCTTACAACGACGAGGAAGATCGTTATGAATGTTCCCGTTGCCAACATCTTCTGTTCACGTTTGCTGAAGCTTCTGCCCAAAAACCCACCGGACTTCTTCATGTTTTTCACTACACTATTCTTCATCTTCTTCTTCTTCTTTACTTTTTTCATCGATTTTATATTGTAAGAGAGAAAATGCGACTTGGAGAAGGCAGCACGGATTCTCCTCATCTTGCTGTGAAATGTAGAACGTGATAGATTATGAAAGGCCATTAATGGAGACAATTGAAAGGTGTTGAGAGATATAGACACTATAACAAAAGCAAAAAAAAAAAAAAAAAAGGTCTTTCGTGACAATTTTTGTAACATCCCGAACCTTTTCCCGACAAGATACTGCCTGCTTTTGGGTCTCTACATCCGCACGGAGTTCGACTTGTGGTGCAATTCAAGGTGACTTCTCATAAGATCACCCATCCTTGTTGTACTCCACACTGAGCACGTTCAATTTCGGAGTTCTCAATAGTTGCATCCAATTTCTCTTTATAGATAAAAAAATATCTTTACTGAGATACTAATACAGGTAGTAAAGATAGAACATCATAACCAACTAGCCTGCTTTATATATGTTGCAAAACATTTAAGTAAACGTTACAAACATTCTCGCTCAGTTTCGAACCCCAAAATGATTGAGAGGATTCCAAATTTTAAGCTGATGAGTGCATTAATTTGATTCATCAGTTTAAAATTTAAATGTAGGTCTGGTTCGATTCCATCGAACTGGATGTCCACCCTACGCCAACTGTAAATATGTAAGGGGCGATGGAATTTTTGAAGAGGGGAGAGTTAATTGGGTCATTTCTCTGAAACATAGCTTGAGAGGGGGGGCAGAGAGTGAGAGGGTGAGGTTGTATGAGCTTCTTAATCATCTTCCATCTAACATGTGTTTTGCAGGTCCTGCTAGAGTGGTTTGGCTGCCCTCTCCCTCCTCGGGATACTCGGCGCGGTCCTGTTACAGAGAACTATTGCGAGAGCGCTTCCCTGGTGTGGCGGATTTCCCCTGTGATGTGGTGTGGCAGTCGGTTATTCCCCACAAAGTGTGTGTGTTCATGTGGATTGCTGTCCAGAAGAAGATCCTCACCCATGATGCTCTGAAGAGGAGAGGCTGGGTCTTTCCAAGTAGATGCTCGTTGTGTGAAGATTCCGAAGAAACCATCGATCACCTTTTCATCTCCTGCAAGTTCACCAAGGAAGTTTGGAGGATGTTGGCGGCCTTCGTGAAGTTTAATTCAAGGGTGTGTGACTTTTCTGATTTCAAGTTCCTTGTTGTCTCTTGGAGCAGAGTCAAGCCGAGCAACCCTACTGAGTGGTGCACTAAGGTGGCGCTACATGCTGTTTGTTGGAGAATTTGGCTAGAAAGGAATGCCAGAATTTTTCAGAATGAGAAGGTTTCTACAAGAGTCATTTGTTTTCGAATTGCCAGAGATATTGCTTGTTGGCTATCGGCGGGTGGCAAGGTGGATCGAGCTATAGCGGATGGATGGCTTCATCACCTGAAATTCCGCCTCCTTCCCAGTTCTACGCAGAATCTGAATCTCTTGCAGCTCTAGCTTTGTTTCTCTACCGTTGCGTTCTTGGCATTGTTTGGCAATACCGCTGTTTGTTTTGGCTTTGTCTTGCTGTTTTTTTGTTGTTCTTCTGTTGGCTCTTGGTCGCTGGGACCTTTGCTGTTCTGGCCTGCGCTGCTTTGTTTCTTGTGTTCCTTTCCCCTCTTGTAAGGACTCCTTTTATTTCAATTTATTTCACCATTATCAAAAAAAAAATATCAATTATTTGATTTCTTTTATGTGATGAACCTCTTTAACACATAGAATGGGTTTCATTAGAGGTGATAATGGATTGAATTCGTGAATTGATGGGATCCAGTGTTTCACCCTTTAAAAATGCTTCAACCGAAAATCCACAGTTTGTCGATGGACATGGATTCCATTGCCAAATAATTCATTTACCTCTACCCATTTCCTAGTCTCGGACCTTGAGATAATAGTATTTTAATTTAGATCGAAAAGGTTGATCATAAGCAAACTCGATTCAATTAAGAAAGCAACTTTGAATAATTCCCCAAGTACATGCAATTGATCATCAAACTCTCGACAGAGAAAACAAAATCATCGATGCAAAAGCTCCAAAGCTCTCACCAACATCGGCCGAAACCTCGTCACATCAACCGTCACATTCTGGTTCTGCAAGTAAATCGAGCTGAACTCCTCCCACCGAAACGACGTCGGGTTCGTAAAAACCGCGTCGTCTGGCGGATACACCTTCGCCAAACTGCTCTCTTCTTTAGTAATTTTGTACTCCAAATACCTCACATTCATTTCCCTCGACGGCTCCCCAAAATACCTATTCGAAAGCCAGTCCACGGCAAACGGAACCACCTGGATCAGAATCCCGTTCTCGGGGAGAAAAACCATGTTTGTAAGTCCAGTCCCGTGAACTCCCAACAACACGTCGACACGATTCGCCATCCTCGCCGATTTCGACACGTCCGTGTCGAATTGTCGCGCGACCGTTTCGACCTCGAACCCGAGCTCTCTAGACGTCCTCACGATCTCCTCCAAGTTCGTGAACGCTCGAGTCTTCTCTCGAGAAATGATCAAAATTCGCGGTGGTGGCACCGATGTTTTTTTCTTCTTCTGATCTCCTCCGCGGTCACGTAAGTGTGTAGCGGTCGTTTTATCGAGAGAGTACGCACTTCTGAGGAAATGTCTGAAGTCTTTCATGGTGTATTGAGATTCCGAAGAGTTGATGCTGAGTTCTTTCTCGTCTCGCCCTTTCAGACCCACCATGACTCGGGAGAAGCAGTGCGCTTTCCCGCCCTGTTGAACCGCGTCGATGTCCACCACTCTGTATCTGGAACAAAAATTTTCCATGTGGTTATACTTTGTTTGGAAAGTATTGCATGAATGGAGGGGGGGAAACGAAGGGATTCTGCATAAAAGCGTATTAGTGAGCTAGAAGGTTGAAAACGTAAGCTTTTTAAGTTTTCAAACATATATTTCAACTTAATTTGTAAGTGAAAAACATGATTTTGCATACGGAGAAGCGTTTTGATGATCAACAACGTAGTAAAAAAAACACGATTCTACGTAGAAGCAATTTATGGTGTGCTAGAAGCGTAAGAACATAAGCTTTTTAAGTTTTAAAGCATAGATTTTGACTATAATTGCAAGTGAAAAGCGCAATTACACGTAGAAGCATTTCGATGACCTAGCTAGAAGTGTAAGAAAAACGTAAACTTTTTTAAGTTTTAAAACGCGATTCTGACTGCACTGATATGTTACGTACGTACCTGGACAGTGCCTGCCAGACAGTCGAAAACTTCGTCACCTGCAAGTGGTGGCCGTCGGTGACGAGGAGATGGAGCCGCCGGTCGAAGGGGCGCGCGGTGACGAAGAGCGAAACGAGGACGTCGGAAAAGGCGTGCAGGTAGTGTCCGAAATAGGCTCCCAGAGAGAACATGAGCGCCGGAGAAGAATCATCATCATGAACTCGTTGAGAATTACAGTGTGGCAAGCCCTCATGGTCTGGAGGCACCGTCTTCACCGTCCATTCCCTCACCAGTCCCATGGCGGTCTCGTCGCCGTTCCGCGGGTACGGCTTTATCATGGTCATCGCCGCCGTCGATTTAGCGATGAAATCGCTGCTTGTTGGATGGAGAACTTGATACACCGTCGCTGAGCCCGGATCCACCCGAACATCGCCTTCGATGTCACAGTAATCCGATCTCCCGCCGAAACGGCACGTGGCGGGCTTGGCGAACGGTTGCCGTCCAACTTCAGAGTGAAATTATTAGAGATATTTTAGTCATTTGTGTCATCCAAACTACGAATTTTATTACATGTGATTGATTATTCCGTCGTTCGTCGCTGGATATGGACGACGTAACATTTTATTTACGAAATTATCACGTATACGTACAGTTATCGACGGTGCTGGCTACTGTTTCCACAGGGAGGCTCGTCATTAGGGTTTCATTCTTCCTCCTCGTTGGAGTTTTCATATTCTCAGGCTCTGCATTATTTCAAGAAATAAAACAAAGATTTGATCAAACGATGCACTGTATGTAGCTAGGGATTCAGTTTATGAATTTACTTACGATTCGGTTCATGCCGATGCAGCGTCGCGCAAAAGGCAACAACGACTAGGAATAATGTGGCGATGGCTGCCACGGTTCTCAGTATCTTCTGTTTACGTTTGCTCGTCGAGCTTCTGCCCGGAAAGCTGGCGCCGCCGTTCTTTTTCATCTTCGATCGATCAGTATACCTTTTTGTTTTTCTTCTCTTTTGATGAATCCTTCTTACTTCTTCAATTTTATAACGATTGTGAGAAGAATTTCATGTTGTCACTAGGAGAAGAAGCCAGCACGCATGTTCTCCTCAACGTTATTGTGAAAAATCAGTTTGTAAGATGATAGATCATGAAAGAAAAAGACCCGTAGATTAAATGGAGAGACAATTGAAAGGTGGTTGAGAGAGATGTAGAAATCGGAACCGGCCGATGAACTTATCGGAACATAGTAAATGATACGTGATCCATAATTGAATATCTTAAAAAAAAAAACTCTGAGTTATTGGGAACAATGGGTTCTTGATATGGTATCATACCCTTCTGTGATGAAGAGATCTTCTGTTTGTTTCAATCTCAGTGACCCCCATTTGTTCTGGTAAGCACATGGTGATCAGACGTGTGCAAACTTCAAGCCTATGTGAGTGGCTTTCGTCCGAGGGATGTGTTAGTAAATAGTATATAATCCATAATTGAATCTCTCCCAACAACTCGAGTTATTGGATCAATTGGTTCTTGATAGTCATGAGTCATGACTCCATAACAAAAATTTGGAGAAATTTTTTCAAACCAACTAGTACGTGCACTCTGCGTACCGATGATTTTTTTGAAGTGAGTCCGACGTAAAAAAAAAATCATAAAATAACTTCTATGGTTCCTTACAATAACCCACACCATGTCTTCATATTTAAAGAAAAGTTTGTGAAATATATGCATCATTCATACTTAACCAAAATGGCTAATGATAATTAACAATGTTGCTAATTTCATAAGTCAATATGCTAGTAATGGGAAACTTAAATGAGTTTGTAGATTATAATTTATAATTACATTATATAACTAGTTTCAATTGGTTTGTAGAAAGTAGCAACCCTAACACATCATACAAGTAGTAATGCAAGCTCCCTGGATCATTTGACAAACTTAGATTACAGCATTCCTTCAGGGATCCAGCATTTGACATTTCTGTGATTTGATCTGAATAGAAATATTGGAAACTTATTAGATTACAGCATTTGACAAATCCCTGCATTTTGACAAATCCAGTGATTTGAAGCATCTGGGAAGTGGGCAGTATTGAAGTAGTTGTTGCAGTTTCCTGATGGAGACAAATCACTGGTTTGGAAAGGCAGGGTAGGCATTGAATTCAAGATCTCCACAGCTCCAGAGGCCATTCAATACTGGGTTCTCCCTGATATCAAGAAAAATGAAAGGAGGGTCAAACAATGGAAGAAGAAGAGGCTACTTTCCTTTTCTTGGGATAATGGAAAATGGCGGGAAGCGGTCCCCATTGATGGCGGCATTAACGTCGCTAATAAAAGGAATTAAAGTGGTACTTGAATTGAAGCTCTCAACGAAAGAAAACTGGTCCCCTTCTGTATTCCATTCCCCATGGCCATGGTCCCTCCATTGGTGAGACAGCAGGCGTGGAATCCAATCCAATCCAGAGCTATGTTTATGAATTATGATTATAACCAACCAACGACCACCATTGACCATCCAGCAAGCATTATTGATGATTATGGTTGTTGTAATGAGGTAGTTGGAGGTTTTTAATTATCTGCTGCAATTGTGAGATGGGATGCCACTGCCTCCCTCCTATCTCCAACAAACCATGATGTTTCATTAATGAATGGCTGTTAATGAGCGGCGAATCGAGTCGAGATTCGCCTCGTTCAGGCTCTCGGCTCGTTATCGAGCTCGACTCGTTGATCAACGATGCGATGATGAGACAGGGGAAAACGAAACAGAGCAAAATCAGGGGAAAACAGAGGAAAACAGAGTAGGTTCAATCGATCAAGTCAATCTATACAGGTGTAGTACTCTGTTTAAGTTACATAATGATGATAATTCCTTGCGTGTTGCTATGAAGAGAAAAAAAAAGGACAAAGAGAATATAGATGAACTTACCATGCACTTCTGGTTAAAGTTCTCAGTCGCTTGGACTCATTCGTTTGGAAGTTTTCTCAAAGGAAACCCCGCCAACCGAAATTGCTATAGCTGAGTCGATCCTTCAACCCATGAAGGCTTTTGTTAGCTTCAGTTAGACGACAGAAGAGTGACACTTTTTCCTGTTTGGCGATTGGCTCTTTCTCATGAACGTGCATGCCTTCTTCTGCAACCAGATAAAGCACCAATCTTTCTTTTTTGTATGTGCTGGTGATGCTTTTGGGCACGTAAAGCGCAATTCCCAGAAGACCCGACAAAAAACCGATCACCAATTTCTGGCTTCTTGTGGAACATGGCCCCGGAGACGTCTGTAGATGACTCTAGCTACAATCCCATTATGTCATCATCCATGGATGTTGCGTGCATGCTGAATGCCGCTCTGAGTTTGGTTTCTGCCACCAAAGAAATAAACTTTTTCCTCATTCGTGCCTACCCACAAAAAAACCAAGTGACTTCTGCTGCTCTAGAGTCTAGAGGTTGCTATCTTCCCATCTCTTCGAGCTTGCACACCACCTGTTTGATGTTTGGTCTAAGAGAAGGCGAAGGGGAACAGCAAGACATTGCAAGCTGAAAGAACTTGAATATGCACTCTTCCCTGACAGAATTCTCACTCTCGCTCCCACTGTCTACAAGTACGTCCGGATGGTAAATGTCTGCGATCCTACGATCAAGCACCGCGTTTCTCATCGACGTCGGGAGGTAAAAATCTTCGTCGGGAGTTGGATTCGGATTCACTGGCTCTCTACCCGAGAGCAACTCGAGCAGTACTATTCCCAGGCTGTAGATATCAGTTTCTTCGCTTGCATCTTTCATTTTGATCAGCTCGGGAGCTTTGTATCCCTCGGCTGCAGATGTCTCGAGCATTTCCTGGGCCGCTGTAGGATTCAGGAGGAGATGCAGGCCGAAATCTGATACACAAGGCGATCCACTGCGATCGAGGACTACGTTCTTCGACTTGAGATTGCCGTGAATCACAGGCTTCTGGAGTCCTGTGTGGAGGTGGTCAAGGCCTCTGGCTATGCCAATGGATAGCCTGTGGATGGTTGTCCATTTGTGACACTCAGCATTCCCATCTGCAGAATAAACAGTTCCTGTTGATTCAGTCCATGTGCAGTAAGTTATGATTAAGCATTATTGAATGCCGTGGTTTCGTGACAAAGATGCTGATTAGAGGGAAAGCATTATTATTATTATCAAGTTGAAACAACTACTGCAACAGGAGCAGAAACAACATGATCTCCATTTTCTTAGAGAGAAAGCAAGGAGATTAAATAACCAAAAAGGTTGGTGCCGACAGCTAATTGATGAAAAAAAGATAATCACCAACCAGAAGATATTTAATTCTAATTTGACTACAACTGGCCAGCAGGTAATCCAATTACCATTGTCGCTGAAATCTGAATCAGATTAGCGACAACACCATCCCAACCCCCCAATCACCAAAAAAACGAACTTTTTTAATTTTTTTACTTGATTACTTGAGATCCATTTGAAAAAGAACTGTATTAAACCCAGAAGAATAAGCCAACAGTCTTCTGCAGTAAGGACTAAAAACATCAGGCAACAGGAGAATTTCAGACAATTCCTTCCAATCCTGTTAATGAATCAGTACTTTGCATTCCTTCTTCTGACAAGAGACTAGTACACTATTCCAAACCATAATATGGGTCCAATTATTTGTCGAAACCTAGCCAGATTGAAGCATTTTCTTCCATCAGAATCACTGAAATTGATGAACATAAGAGGGGGGAACTGTTATTTTAACCCCCGAGTGTCGATGTCAGAACTCAGAAGGGCATAAAAATAGCACCTTTCTGACATGTTTTTATGACAAACAGAGAGAACCAAAGAGGAAGAACAGCAGAGAGAAGAAGAAGAAGAAGAAGAAAAGAAACCAGAAGCTGACCTCGGATGAAACGAGCCAAATTGCCACGCCGGAAGAAGGGATGAACAAGGAGCTTCTCGCCTCTAGGGCCAGCATAGAACCCCAAAAGAGGGACCAAATTAGGGTGCCTAATGCAACCCAGCAACTGAACCACATCACCAAATTCCTTAACCCTCGCAGTACAAACGGGCCTCAAGAACCTAAGCAGCCTGACGCAGTTGCTCCTCTGCAACAAAGCCTTGTAAAGGGTACCGTAATTGGATTTCCCGATGACCTCTCCAGGAGCATCGAGAATGTCGGTGACAGTGAGCTCCTGCCCACCTTGAAACCTCACCAAATCCTCTGTCGCCGCCGCCGCCGCCGTCTCGCCGCTCTGTTTCTTCTCCTGCTGTACCACCTCGACGTCGTCGCATTGGGGTTTCCCTCCCCTTCTCCTCAAGCAAAACAGGAGGGTTAGTGCGAGAACGAGCAGGACAGCCGCTGAGGATGATGCTAAGAGTAATTTCATCAAATGGGTGTGCTTCATTTTGGGAAAAGGGAGCAGCTTTAGGGCTTCCAGGGGATGAAGATTGAAGATCAGGATCTGGGTAGTGGGTATTATTGAGGAAGAGTGGAACGGGAAAACGGTTTCCTCTACGATCAAAAGATTCCAACTTTGTTTCTCTTTTTCCTTTTTCTTCCGGTGTGAAAGGGAGTGGGGCAGAAGAGAGGCGACAAGGAGGTGAGGATAGAAGAGAACTTTAGTGGTGCGGAACCCAAGGATTCAGAAGAAGTAGCAGAAGGAAGAAGAAGAAGAAGGAGATTGATGTGGAAGTGAAAGAATAAAGGATGGATACAGTTGGAATGGAAGTTTGAAGCGGTAAGGGTTGGGATCAGGAGAAGAAGCACATGGGATTGGAAGATAAGAAGAGAACAGGGGAGGAGGGAAAGAATGCAGAACTGTGAGGAGACAGAAGAGGAGGAGGGGAAAGGAGAGAGAGAGAGAGAGGGAGAGAGGAAGGGAGGGAAATCTGAAATGAGCTGTGGAAATTGGGAAGTGAGGGAGTGAGACAGATCTAGATAGACAGGCATGTGGGATTTTTATTAAACGGGCAGGGAGGGAAATTGGGGAGTTACTTTTGACCTAAATTTTTTTGCACATTCGGTTGTTGGCGTGATGCCTTGTTGTTTGCCCAAAGATTCGAAGAGTGCACCTGCGTTGCGTGCGGCTCTCTTCAGACGGTGGTTATGACTTCTTGAAAGAGAAAAGGAATACCCACTCTCCGTATTAGGAATGACAATTTTGATGTGGAATCGCTTTATTCGACCTATTTGATATGGACATGAGTACTTTCTTGATCTAATATGTATTGACTCGCTCCATTCTCAATTTGTCTTTGTCTAAATTACATGTAGGGGTCATTTGGTTTTTCCGATTGTTAAATTGATGTATTTGTGAACAATACATGCATTATAATATACATGTATCGTTGAAAATCACTTTGCACTACAAGCGAACTAATGGCGCACGACCAAACATCACCGGCTGGAGAAGGTTTCCAAAAAAGAAAAACAACAGAGAGAATGTTGTTGTTGGAAGTTCACCTGCACATATGCACTTTGCTTCTGCAATTTCATCACTTAGGAACATTCTTCACTTTGCTTTTCCCTTAAGTTCAGTAGGAAATCTGTGCCAAGGATGATTGAATGCAACAAGACAACATATGCAATCGACGAAAGGTAAATCAAATCACCAATCCTCAACTATACGGTACAAGATTCCTCCTCTCATTCACATAATAATAGCCTAAATTATCCAGACTTTCATTAATGGTTGAAGCTGACTTCGAAGAAGAAAAAAAGCTGATGTATGGGGCCAATATGCTATATGCATGTGGAAGTCCAATTGGGTTTTGTTCATCTTATAATCGTCGATGGGGACATTTGATTCAATAAAAAGAAAATGGAGACATTTGATTGAAGTTAACTTTTTCGCTACAACTTTTGATATGATTTGATGCTAAAACGTCTCAAAATCAACGAGATAGCCTCGTCACTCGTCAGATATATGTTTTGGCATCAGACGTTCTGCATAGGCCTACGTGGAACCAAGAGTCTTTCTGCGATCCGACAGATCTACCCGGGACTTCTAGCCCGGTTTTTTTTTTTTTTTTTTTTTTTGAGTCATCAACAACCAATTGCACACCCTAAAACAAGAACGTGGTCCTATGTAGCCAAAACAGTGCACAAGAACTCAGCAAAAGCAGCACAACAACACCAAGAAAGAAGCCACCTTTAAATGGTCCAGTAGGTCCATTTTCTAGGTTGGTTGGAGGATGACTCATCCCCACATAACTGGCATATGAAGGTAAGATAACAAAGTGGGCATTCAACACCCCATTTCATACGCAAAATTTCAACACAGGACAAAAGGATGTCAGTAGTTGGTCTGTCTGTACCATCACCATCATAAGGGTATTGAGCAGAGACAACAGTTGATTATAGAACTACATCCATGAAACTCAGCAAGATAATATTATTGGTGCAATCTGAGAATTCAAGCAGACTATGGTTTGAGATCGACCAGTCCAGGCTTGTCTTGTGTTCTCTCAAATCCATACCACAAATAATCAAACAAAGCTCTTCTGACAAGCATCTCTTTACATTTGAATGCGCTTTACATTTGAATGCGCGAGTCTGCAACATTATCGTACAAGGAAAGCGGAGGTTGTGGGTTTAAGAGTTAGGAGATATAGTACATTGGGTTTGGAAGTTTGAATGAACGGGTCGACATTGGCCAGCCTAACAAATCGCTCCACTGGTCTCCTGAGTTTCCAAGGATCCTATACCCAGCTTCCAACATCTCATCTCTCTTCTCTGATTTGTAGGTTGCTGCCAGCTTCCCATGGTCTTCAGTGGCTCTGCAACGAAAGGCGAATTAAACAAATTCAGGAAGCTATAAAAGTAACAGACGCAACATCCCGTTGTTATGCATCACTTTACTTACAGAGTCGTGTCATTTTACCATGTCCACTTCTATAATCAGTTATTCAAACAAACATAACTTTACGTACAGAGTCGTGTCATTTTACCAGTCCACTTCTATAATCAGTTATTTCAAATCCATCAGTTCTAGCAATCCTTCATCTAAAGGATCCTTTTACATGAGGTGGGAAGTAGTGAGGATGACAATAGAATACACATTGCAATCACCAGTGATGAGTGTTCATTTTGATGGTCAAGAGAAACTAAGCAAGTTCATGTTCGTGTCTAGATGAAGAATCAATCACCTATACCCCTCCAACTCCAAGCTTAACAAATTTCAGTCACTGGAAACCATATGTATGTGCAGGGGCGAGTTTTTCCTATATCTGAACTAACTCATCCCAACAGCTCAAGTTGTTAGGAATGGATTTAGAGACGAGAGATCCTACATGTCTCCAATTCAACTTATCAAATACTACATCGTCAAATCAACATTTTGGGTTAAGAGAGCAGGTTGGTTATAGGGTTAGCAGACAAGCTAGTATTAATTGAGATCAAGCTTAATCTAATCCATTGGGAGAAAGTTTACAGCCTGTTGCTCGTTCTGATGAAAACAAACATTTGCACTAACCTCAAGATGAGTCTGTCCCAACTCTGGAACCCTGCACTCCTCAGGTTTTGGTCTGTAACAGCCCTTTGCGCCTCACTGCGCCCGGTCAGAAGAATGATCTTGAAGCCCATATCCAGAAGCTGCTGATACAGTTTCAGACTGGCTTCTAGTGCAGGTGCTGTAGCCTTATCAACCCACATATCGAAATCTACCGGATTAAACACCTCCGCTCTGCAATATTCCCCCAGTAAAAGAAACCAGCACGAGGGTAAAAGTAAATGAGAATCGAAGCTCAGGCCAAGTAACCATCACAAAGTTAGCAATATCAAACTTTGGTTAATGAGCCATTGATATAAGTCCTTATAGCCTAAAGTTGTAATCTTTGCTCCCCCTTTCCCAAATTCAGTGAGCCATGGGTCCAAGTTCTATTCAAGCTCCCTACAGACTACCAGCAATATGGGAATAGAAGCTTATTATCGAAAGCTGTAATCATTGCTATGGTTCAATCGCATTTTCCCCAAATTCAATTCAGAACTCTTCTTGCTCCAATTCAATTCAACTTGCCCTAACCTAGATATGCAAATTACTAAAAAAAAGGAGGGGAATCAGAAATCAGAATCACCCTAGAAATGAAAATCGAACTTTACCCATAACCATGGTCCTTATAATAGGGAAGATTGGAGAGCAAAGTCTCGTCAATGTCAAACACCCAAACATCTTTCCCATCTCCCTGGAGCTGCAAACCCTTGGCATACGCGACGGCCTCATCAGCGACCCTCTGGAGATCGACGAGGTATCCCTTGCCGTTGACGTAGCCTCGAACGTACTCGAGGCACTCGTCGGGGATCGTCTTCCAAGGATTCAAATTGTTGGCCTCTCCGGCGACCCTCCAGCTAGTACACTGCAGAGTGAGCTCGTCGGCGTCGAATTGGCTCAACTGGGTTTGCAGGGTTTCGACGGAATTTTCTGGGTACTCGAGGATCAGAGGCCTGGGGAGAAGGTGGGAGCTGAACGCCGCCTGGTCCGAGAGAACGGAGGAGACGAACAAGGAGGAGAAGAAGAAGAAGAGAAGGGGAACTGGGAAGGAACTCATTCCAATTTGTTGGGTTTGATTGGGGCAAGAATACAGAATCCTTTCCGTGCTAATATATATACAGGGCGGGAGTCTAAAGATTCCTCGTTGAGCAAACCCTTTTCCCCCTCTTTTCCTAGGGAAGATGAATACAAATGGGGAAGGTTTGGAGATAAAAGAGGGAATATGCCAAGATTTGAGAGGGACGCAAGGAAAAGAAGGAAGGAAGAGGAAGGAGATAAACTATTCTTTTTCAGGACCAGTTATTCCGTGAGACGAAAACAAATGGAAGAGAGTTGGGTAAGGGGAAGAAGAAGAAGAGAATAGCTTAGTAGCGAAGTCAAGGCGATGAAATTGAAAGCTATGACGGATTTACTGTATATTCGTGTTTGGCTTCCTTGCTAGAATCTGGAGGGAAAGAAAATGCAGATAATAGAAAACGACGGAGGGGAGACCCGGGTCGGGTCGGGTCGTGATGGTCGGTGGGGTTGGTGGGTGATGTCATTTTGGTACGTGGCCGATTCTTGTTGGTTATTTATGGATGGAGCCAGGTACAGAATATTATTTACTTTTCTGCTTAGATTTTTTTTTAATAAGTGCTCACTTTGAATAGGGATACTTTGAATAGGGATGACAATTTTAACCTGACCCGATTTACCCGACCTGTTTGATATGTTTTGAGGCGGACATGGGTACCTCTCATCGACCCGACCTGTCCTAACCCGCCCCATTCTCGACCCGTTCTTGGCTAAATTACATATAATATTTAGTCAAATTACTTAAGATTTTCCTCTTATTACATTATACTTTAGCTATAATAAAGTTGTAAATAAGTGAAAACTTCAATTTTTTCAATAATTTAACTACATTTTATCATATTATGGTTTCTTTCTTGGTCTTTCAATGAAAAGAACGAATATTTCTAATGTTTTTCACATAAATTACATACCCAATAGGTCGACCTGCCCTGACCCGCGCCCCGTGATAAATTACCCGACCTGGACCCGACCTGCCATGGGGCGGGTATGAGTATCGAGATACCCGCCCCGGACCTGCTCATTGTCATTCCTAACTTTGAATTGAATTGCTTTTATCATCACACAATTGTTCTCGCACATTTTATGTATATTTTAAACCACATTTCTTATGCGTTTGAATGTCATAATCATCATATTTTGGCAATTTTTGAGTTAATATTGTGCTATAAGTGATTAAATATTGATATTCTATACATTATAATTTTTTTTTGATATTCTATGATTTAGCAGGATGTTTATCAGTTTTCTGTTATTCGCCTTGTTAACTTGCTCATTCTTACCATATTCTATGATATATTGTGGCTTCTTTCCTAACATCAAACCCCAACAAGTCTGTACGAAATTTTAGACCATTCGGAGGTCGTTTAAAGAGTGAAAATGATACTTTAGGTTAGGTCACAGGGGGAGTCAAACTGTGAGTCTGTGACCGACATCACGACCTCATGAGAATGATGAGAGAATCACTCTCTCCCCGATACGCCGCTTTTGTCCAACAACTTTCGTGATGAACCCCTGAAGAAGGTTGGATGCAGCCATTGCATTTCAATACTGATGGGTCAGTCACTCCCCATATAGGGCTGATTACAGATCATTCCAGAAGATATGAGTATGCCTTCACTTGTAACTTGGGGAAATGCTCAATCATAAGGGCTGAATTAAAAGGTGTGGCGAAAGGCCTCAAATTAACCTGACTGAAGGAATGACAATCATCGACATTGCATTTTGGCACAACATATAGACGACCCACATTCAACCTCGAGTAGTATGTTAGAATCTCACATTTGTATAGGGTATGTAACCTTACTCTTTACTTCTTAACTAATTTGGGTCACACACCCCTTTTAGCACACATCTAATCGATATGAGCAACATGAATTTGAGACAAAGCTCTTGTTTGATGTATTACTCATTGAACCCATTAATTATTCCTATGAACAGGCTGTGTTAAGTTTCATTCAACTCTACAGACTACAATCGTCGCCTTGTTTTAATCACTTAGACTTCCACTCTACAATAGCAGCCAAAATGGTGTAATTTGGTAACAAGTTCTTATTCGACAATGCTACGTTGGTCATTGGAGATTTCTCATTCTCCTGCAGCCATCTCTCAATGGCTTCGCGTTCATAAGTGTACCCATCTGCAGCAACACAAGGCTCCTTCATCACTTCCTGTGCCACACACATAAACAGAACACACTCTACATCAGACTCAAAAAAGCTTTAACTCTTTCACCTCATCGAATCATCAAATCGTATGCACTAACTTACCTTAAGTATTGGACACACAAAGTGGTTCGGAGGCAGCGAATGCGAGCTCGAGCCAGCTGGATTCGACAGAGCTCGCTCTCGAGCTCTCTCGCCAACTTCTTTCAATCTCTCCAACGCAGGAAGCACGCCATCTTTCAAACATGGCCTGTCCTTCCGTCGAAGTTCAGCACAACTAAGTCCCAGCTTCGCGATCTCCTCGGTCTCATCCACTGGCCAGTTCCCAGCTCCCAAGTCCAGAACACGAGCCAGCTGGCCTTCTTCCATGGCTCTTTCCACCAGGTGTGCTAACGCCATGGCTGGCTTCCCAGTGAGCAGCTGCAGAATCACCATCCCGAGTGCATAGACGTCTGATTTGGGGGAGATCAGACCGGTTCGCTGGTATTCTGGGTCGATGTAACAGAGGGTTCCAACCGGGGCGGTGTCTTTGTACATGGTGATGTCCGAATGAAGCATGGTGGAGAGACCGACGTCACCGATCTTGCTGACGTAGTTGTGGTCCAGCAAGATGTTTGCTGGCTTCAGATCACGGTGGATGATTGGTTCGGGCTTGGAGTTGTGGAGAAAAGCGAGTGCTGAAGCTACTTCCCACGCGATTCGGAACCTCTCGAACCATGGAATGGGTTGAGTGTTGTGTAGCCTTAGTAACCTGTCCTCCAAGCTACCGTTCTCCATGTACTCGTAGACCAAGCAGCCGTGATCAGGACATGCTCCCAGAAGGATCAACAAGTGTGGATGGCAAATTTTGCTCAAGATATCTAGCTGAAAGTGAACACCCCAGGCAAGAAGAAGAAAGAAAAAGTATCAGACTTTTCACTTTTCAGGCACTAATTTAGACAAGCTCTAGAACATAAGTATGATATATATAAGCTTGTTGGTACCTCCTGCTTGAATTGTTTTATATCGCGAGGCTCTTTAGAGTGAAGAACTTTCACAGCTGCAACTGTATGATGAAAGCTGCACCTGTACACCTTTCCATAAGCTCCCATTCCAATCTTGAGCTCTTCCGAGAACGATGAGGTTGCAGATTCGATCTCCTCCCAAGTGAATTTCCGATACTGCTGCAGAGGAGCCACAAGAGCATTCTGCAGCCTCTCTTTCTCTTTAGCATCGTGCTTCGCTTTAGCCTCTGCTTCTCGTCTCTGCATAGATTCTTTCTCGGCACATTTCCTCATGTGTTCTGCTTCTTTGAGTGCAGCTTCACATTTCCCCCTCTCTTCTTGTGCTAGTTCCTTGGCTTTCTCCTCCCTGGAGCTTATCTCCTTCAGTTTCGCTGCACCCTCCATCCGACACTGATTAAGAGAGCTCAGCTGAAAGGCAGCCATCAGTTAGGAAGTTAATGAACTGAAGGAAGCAGAACATCCGTCGCTTGATCTTAACACGGTAACTGCATCTAACCTTTCTAGAGGCATCCATTGCTTCAGTTTGGGCCATTGCATAGACACCACGAGCATGCCTGAGTTCAAGCCTTAACTTTTCTAGCTCAAAGTTGAAGTTTGCCTGCTAAAGCATTGAGTGCCATAATCCCTTATTACATGAACCAGAGAAAAGGGGAAGAAGTAGAAGGCTACCTGACTGTCAGATGATGAATTATCTGTGAGCCCATCTGACGCGGAAGCTTCATCGGAGAAGAGTGGTGATTGGAAATCAGCTGAGAAACTAGAGCTACGAGTGATGAGATGATGTGCAGATTCTAGGGAGCTAGGAGTACAACCAACAGCACCACCACCACCACCAGCATTGACTTCATCAAGTTCCAAGGACAGGGATCTAGAATGGATGATGGCCTCAGGTGAGGTTGTTCTGGAGTGAAGGCAGCCCTGGTTTATGGTAGCAAGTGCTTGGACTCGCTGCATTGGGAGGGAAGAAGAATGAAAATTGAAATACGAAGATCCTGAACTTCCATCTGCACCAACCCACATCAGATCATACAAATTTAGAACACAGCTTATGGTGTGTTTAGTGCACTACGTTGAATCAAGTGAAGCATTAGACAACCTGTATGCGAGCTGAGACTGTTACTCGAGTCACTGGTAGTAGGACCACTCGTGACACTACTATCATCCGCTATGCTTGGATTCGAGTCCAAATCAGACGGGCGAAGCGATGCCAATTTCCCCTTGGAAACCACATACACAGTGCAAGAACGCGGAGCACAAGCTGATATTCTCGAGGAGAGATGGTGTGCCTTGAGTTTCCTGAACAAAGATTCTCAAGTCTTTTAAGCAGGGATGTTATAACTTACTTTTCACTGTCAGTTCTTCTGCACTTTTTGACAGCATGAACAAGCGCAATTACCTTGAGAACATTCCACGCGAAGAAGCTCCAATGACTAGCTTACTAATCATACTCTTGGAAACTTCCTCTGCTATTGCATTTGCCACATTGTCTGCTTCAGTCATACACACATCCACTTGTACCTATAAAGCCAAAGCCAAAATCACAGTTCACTAATACGATTTCACCTCTAACCCAGACCGAAACACAGACAGCCGAAAGTGAGGAAAAGGGATGACCTTTCTCTGAGTACACAAGTCTTTGTAAGGAACTATCAATTGGTTGGCCTTCCATTCCATTTCCTTCCTATACGCCTTTGCTACGCTATCTCGTACTTGCGATATAGGAATCGAATTCCCCACTGCGTAAACAGACAATAGTTAAAGATGAATGAACCATAGGAATACCAAGTCTAGACATGAAAGAAAAGTTAAGGGAACTTACTGGGAGTAGGGACTAGAGTGACCTTAGGGCGGACATGTAAGATCTTGAACACAACTTTCTCCTCATGACCAAACTTCTCGAGTGCCCATTTCACGACATACTTGCTCTTCTTCTTACCGTCGACGGCGATACCCACGGTCAAAGGCGGTGGAAGAGGAGGCAAATCTGCTGCTGCCTTCGCTGCCTCAGTAATCTCACTTTGTTTTTCCTCCATTACAAAACGAAAGCCAGTTCTCTCCCTCTCACTCAAACTGGGCTGGGTGGCCTATCTACTGGACAAAGAGAAGAGCTTGTAAAATGAATTTGCAGTGAAGGGAAGATGGAAGAAATTCCAAAAGAAGGGCAAGGCATTAAACAATAGTACGCGCTTCCTTGAGTCAGAAGGAATGGCAAATACAGACGGACGCACCCAGAAGAAAACAGATACAGACAAAGAGAAAGAGTTAGGCATCCGCAAGAAATTGATCGTTCACGGAATTCACACACAGGAAAAAAAGCTTTCGTTTTCAGTTCTTTTGTTTCTGTTCATTATGAGTCCAAAAATCAAAACGAGTAATTCGAAAACTTGAATGCCCTCAATTCCGAAGGACGGATAAGAGTCCATAAACACAATGTTTCCATCTGGGCATCGTGAAATTCCAACGAATATCGACATTCCTGACATAAAGCTCAGAACTTGGTTACCTGACCGGCCGGCGGCGTTGCATTCTGAGCTGACAACGAAGGGAGACGACCCATTACGCGCAAATTTGCTAGGAACCCAATTGAAGAATCCCTTGGAATTACCAGAAGCGGGGAAGTTGTACAGAGATGCCGAAGGACGAGTCAGAAGAGAAGGAAGAAAAGAACAAAACAGAGTAGGCAGCTTAAGCCTAATAACTCTAACAAGTAGTATTCCTCCAAAATTATCAGAAAGGAAGAGAAAGCAGGATTCAATCAAAGCATAGTTCTTTCTCACTGGGTAGGATTCGGGTAAAGGGGAATTTTGTCGCGCTTTGTGATTGTGATTTTCTCAGCTGAGTGATGTGATTCGGCACTGCCCTCGCGCAATTCGCAAAACAACTCGTCGCGTGTCCGTCTGTTGCCCCTTTTTCACTCCGCGGAAATGGAAGGTTTTTGGGTTGGCTGAGCTGGAGCATTGACCACTTCCCTTTTCATCTTGTTAACCAACCTTTTCTTCTTATCTTCCATTTTCTTCTTTTTCCATCATTAGAATCCAAGTGTAACGTGGTCCAAATTGACTTTTAAATATAATAAAACTAAAATGATTATATCATCATTTACTTGAAATGTAACATCTTTTTAACATAGTTTAAAATAACAATTATCTACTAACACTATAATTTTTGCATTCTTCCTACAATCGTTTTCAACGGTTATTGATAGAAACCGATTTCTATCGGGTTTCTATTATAATATTATTAGGGTTATTATTATTAGGGTTAGTAGTCTTTTAGTCGTATTAGGTTAATTGTTAGGGTTTCTGGTTCTTTTCCTATATATGTACGTTGTTATTCGTCTAGGCAATCGATAAGCAGAAATCAGTTAAAGAATTATCTTCCCCAAAGCCTAAACTCTCCCTATCTCCTAATTTCTCTTCTTGCCTAGTCCAAGGCTTCGACCGATTCTTTATTCTGTTCTTCCTCTCCTAATCTCAATCCTTAATTCTGTTCTAAATCCCAATCCCACAATTCTCGATAGAACCCTAATCCCAGGTTCTATCAGTTATCAATCTATATACGTGTCTAGTGTATATGTACATGAGAATATTAACCAATAAGGCAATAGCATTAGCTAACACTGTTATGAATTAATATAAATAAACTCGTCATCATACTCGTAATCAATTCATCATATACTACAAATACAACCTATAATATACGATCGGAGTAACTAACAGATCCAGGTGGAGGGCCCCTTTCATATGTGGATGCCCAGTGCCTATACACTCTCTTAGTCGACACTGTTCGTGAGGATTTGAATACGTGACCTCAATGACAAATTAGGTCTAATACCATGTCATAAACCAACTGATCTCAATAACTCGAATTGTTGAGATATATTCATATTTAATCTCCTTTTCATGTTGAAGTTTTCAATTAAGAGGAGAAAATCCATCCCACCTACGCTTCTGTAAATGTCGCTTTTACCGAACAGAACAAGCTTCACAATATTGACTTCTTAGTTGTCTGTCACATTCCGGTTTGAATCCCACCTTATATTATGTCGAGTTGATTTGTCTGGTTGACCATTAATGGTGATCAATAAAAATTGATGCCTGGCTATCAATAAAAATTACAATGCCTGCCAACTTCACTATAAATAAACAAATCGGTTTTTATGCGTATACTCATTTTCCAATTATTTTTCTCACTAACCACACTAAATTTCGAAGTTTTTATAAGAGATCCTCTTTTCATCTCAAAATACTTCTTGTCGGTTAAAATTGGATTGTTCCTTATGTATTATGATTTATGAAATCTCTTATATGCTTTGTCTACGTGAAATTTGTATAATTTCCTCACTAACCACACTAAACTACGAAGTTCTTGTAAGAATTCTTCTATTCCACCTCAAAATGTTTCGTATCTATTAAAATTGGATTGTTCCTTACGAACTATAAATTTGTATGTACTTTGTCGATGTGGGAATTTGTCTAATATGTTATACCATTAATCTGTATAGTAGTTTAGCTACTCAAATATAAATTATAAAATATTATACGAAATGAATCGAGTAGGTTTCTACCTACTTTTTTTTATATGGGTGGGAAAATGATCATCCAAAACAATAATAAAAAATTTGTGCCTGCGATTCCGTTCATATTCAATCGGTTGATTAATGACTAGTATTATATCTTACTTCTCCTCCAATATTTTTCTATTTTTAAAATATTTTTCGTTGAATATTTTGTAGTAAAAAAACACATAAATTGCTAAAAAAACATATATATGAATGGAAAACATCAAATCACCATTAAATAACCCAGAGGAAGGAAATTGGTTGTGTTCTAGTGGAAATTTCTTTTATTAATTAGTCGCTAATCACTAATGAATAGAATGGAAGACCACAAGCTGTGGAAACGGGTCAACCTCATGGTTGAGGCTTGAAAAGAGATGTCTTCCTGCTTTATATGAACTAGCGTGGCCCCGACCAGTTGACCGGAGGAAGGTGAAGTATGAAATTTGATAATATAATCGGGTGTATAGCTTATTATTGTATAGTTTTTTTTTGGAAACACGTGATAACAATAGTGAATTTTAGTAGGAAAGAGACATAAATGATGCAACGAATCAAAAATCAGCCTTATGAACCAAAATCAAGTACATGTTACCTTGTGAAACAATATTGTTTCTGGTAATATGATGAGGTGGAGTAAGTTTTATAGAAACTGAATTCCAGAAATAAATAAAAAATCGCATATCCCGCCAGTTTCGGGAAATGAGAATCTCACAATCGTTGCTAGCTTTTACTCGGCCCGTTGGCTGATTAATTTGCTTTATAAAACTTTCATCTTGTCGTCATTGTGCTTTCTGGTTTTTGCCAAGCCATGATAAAATCTAAAAAAATCAAGAATGAACAACACGATTTGGGATAGGAACCGTCGTTCCTGTATCCCTAGAAAATGGTGGTAAACACGGACTCACCTGCCAAACTGGTTTGGATTGAGATTTTTATCGGGTATCAGGGAGCCATGTGATTATAAATTAGACTTGATCAAAACGGGCCAAAACTTGAAATTCAACATGTTTGACCGACCCATGCCAAACTCTAATTATTCTTTACTTTTAAACTTTCTATTTGAAAATAAAAAATAATGAAAGAAAAGAGATGACTGCAATTCGCCATTTGCACATCACTAATTCGGGAATAAAACTATAGAATTTCGAAAGAAAGCTGAAAATGTTTAGGATCTTTTAATGTTAAAAATAACCAAATAGATCTTTCTGATTATTTTTTTACTAACAAATACCAAACGATTCCCTATAAAATACACTATAATTAAATAATTATGATATCAAATAATTACATAATATATATTTGAAATGATAAAAATTGGACTAATTGGGTTGGTCGAGGTTGAACCATTGAATAACTTTAAAATACATTATATTTTAGCCATTAAGTTATAAAATAATAGCATAATATATATTGTGCTAGAGAAAATAACTTGTTTTAGAATGACAAACCCATGATGTTCATTTGTGTACTTGATGGGCAAATCTCGTGTAGGCCAGGCCCATTTAACTATTTTATTTTATGGTTAGCGGTTAGCCCATTAGAATCCATGCATTAGTTTATTGTTATATTTTTTTTTCTTTTTAGCAATAAAAGGAGTATTGTTTTTCCCTTTTCATATATATTTTACCACCACGGAGAAATAAAAGGACTTAAAGAGAAAAATTGACACTCCTGGACCCGTTTAAATTCGCATGTGTACGGTAAGATGGCCCGTTCTACAGAGGAAAAAGAAATAAATTGACACTCCATATTCTACCCTTCCTACAAACGCTCATGGAGCAGAGAATTTGAAATGGGGGAAGGGTTTTTTTCTCTCTACTATTATATGTTTTTAATTTAAAAAGATACAATAAATGTACTTAGTGTGATTGGTTATGATGTTTGTTTTCTTTAAAGCGGTCCTGGTTCAAATCCTAGTTCGTGTCATTTTTAATGAATAAAAAAAAGTAATTGTGAAGACCAAAATGTCCTTCCTACTTTCACTCTGGATGCAGGAAATTTGAAATGAGTTTTCAAGTTTTCTCATTTAGTTTTTATTTATTGTTTATTTATTGTTTAGATGTGTGTTGTTTCCTAGAAAGTCAGCTTCTTTTATAAAAAAAAATTCCAATACCACGTCCAAAACTTGATGTCAAGGACAAAAGAGTAAATTCACAAGTATAGTTGGTACAAATCCTCGTCCTCCAGACTTTAGATAAATTACTCGAAACTCTCAAATAAAGATTCTCCTTGATGACAAGGACAATCTTACGAAACGAGTAAAGTGAGGAATAGGTTAGGGGGCAACATGACAACCCACCCGTCTACCGTATGTTTTCGTCTTTCTCCTTCTTTTTTAAACTGACCATCAAAATTGAGTCGGGAGTAGTTTTGGGAACAAAAACTCGTACCACATGTGATTGCGGCTACACTTCCATATATGAATGTATATAACCCCCTCTCTCCCTCGGCCGAACCCAAAACTCTACTTATTTTGCATATTGCTAGCAGTTTTTCATGATGGTACTAGTACTCGGTTGCAGTAGTACTTGACTCGTACCAAGTTATAACTCGGTGTGGTGCTAACTACTACACCAAGCCAGACAATGTATATCCCAGCTAGGTGGCATAGTAAAGTGGTTGATAGAGGTCGTATTCCCAGGCAAGTAAGCCTCTTGCTACTTCAAGGATTGACTGTTATCTAGTCGATAATTTAGTTTGTTTGTTATTACCCACTAAGAGCAAAACTAAAACAAGCTTCAATGTAAAGAAACAATTTTTAGGGATCGATCCCCTACCCTAGCACATCGGGAAATTGCTTTGCAATGGAAAAGTAATGGTTCAATGAAAGTGATTCAAGGTGTAAGGATCACTAATGAGATGATTGGATCAATGGTCATGCACCAATTTCCCTCCTAGCTATGACAAATCAACCCAATGGTTATGTAATTGGCCACCATAGCTAAAGAGATAACATATCCTCCAAAAATGAATTTAACTCATAGGTACACAATTCAAATAACTCAATGGTCCCACAATTATTCAAATTTGCATAAGATGAGTAAGCCCCTTCTTGACCTAGGTGAATGTAGAATTGTCATCTACTCTTGATCAAGTTTGAATATCAATACCACATATATTTAACATGGATAAAACATTAAAATCAACTGAACAAGAACTCACTATAACTAAACCATTCAATCCATTACATGAAAACCCCTAGGCTATGGTTAGGGGGCCTTACCCCAAATACTTTAAAGATTACCCAATGCTTGGGGAAGGAAACCCTAGAAAATGGGAATAGAAAGCATCAAGGGGAAGTGTCTTGTTGATGGAGAAATTAGCTTAGAAAACCTCCAAATGCTCCTCTTCTTCTCATAGCTTTCCTGGTTGTGATCTCCACCTTGTGCCTGCGAACTTCTCCCTTATTCAAACTACACTTGATGTCCTAATCCCTTCCAATTTGACTTAAATGCAACACATGTTCGCCTAAACAAAGAAATTAGGTAGTTTGTACCCGATTATTAAGTTTGGGGGGGGGGGGGAGACTTCAAGTTTTACGATTAGGTCACATGTTTGCTTGAGGACAAGCAAAAGTCTAAGTGTGGGAGGATTCGATAACACCTAAATTAAGTAGTTTTACACCAAATTATTAAGTGTTATCATGATGATATTAATGTGTTTGCATCCGAATTTGTCGAATTAGTCTAAGGTTAGTTGCTATTTCGATATTGATATGATTAAATGATGTTTATGAGGGTTGAGCGCAATCGAGATAAGATTGGGTACAAGTGTAGGCTCAAAGACAGAGAGTTTGAATAGCAAAACTGCAGGGCAGGGACCATAAACATGATCCTCACCCGTGATCTAAGTTCAGGGGTGAGCACCAAAGATCACACATGTGATCTCCCGGCTGCACCCGTAAACGCTATACCCAAAATGAGTAAACGAAACAGAGAGTTTCACGGGTGTAGTTGGTGAGTTCAGGGGTGGGAGTTTCAGCCGTGATCTCAAGATCAAAGCCATGAACTTAAAGATCACGATCGAAAATTCTCAACACTCAATTTGTCAAGTCAACGATCTCAAGCGACATCGTTTCAAAAGATCACATGTGCAATCTGGATTTTATAGTGGTGAACTCCAACCCTGATCTCATGCATCCCCTGGCCTATAGATAAGAGATCAAAATTCAAACTATAGGGATATGATTTTTCAAATTTCTATCATTCACAAGAGAGAAGTGATGTTTTTTGCACCTAGAGTGGAGAAGAAGGCTTGAGAAAAATGGAAGATTGCTCATCTCCTAGACTTGGAGTTAGAAGATTGGAGTTGAAGAATTGAACTTCCCTTGAAGATGGTGTTCTTCCTTCCTCTTTGTAACTCTTTCTTCTCCTCTTTCATGAGGCAATCTCCTTTGTGCTTGGGGTGAGAACTCCTAACTTCATGCAGTGAATCTTATGTGACTGGATATGGAATTATTTGATTCCCTATCAAATCTAAGTCCATTTGATTGTGCTTAATGCTATCTATATGCTCAATGGGTTTGTGTCTACTTGAAGAATCTAGCCCTAGAGCTCTAGCTAGGTTGTACAAGTGAGTCATGACCATTGATCCATTTGTTACAATAGTGATGCCTACATTTTGGATAGTTAGCAATGATACAAGGAAGTTCTATGTTGCCAATTCACATGACTGATGTTAGGGACCCAAATACCCTTTCTCTTGAGCGAACCTTAAGTAATACCGTCTACTGTGTTTGATTAGGATTAAACAACCTCGATTATTCGATTAGATACCGACAACATTCTTCGAGTGTCAATAGTTTCGAAACCCCGTAGAATACGACCTTGAGATGTCCTCCACTATATATTAAAATCCTCATTTAGGGTATACTTTACCTAAGTGGATGCATTAGTGTGTGTATCAAGGCGATAGCTTCTCCCGCGGAAAGCTATTCCCTCGGCGGCATTCCCCTGCTGCTGCTCCCCTGTTGTTGCTGCTGGTGAACCACCGGTCGCCGGTGGCGTTTGTCGTCGTCCTCCGCCGCCACTGAGACGGTAGCTTCTTCCCCGGAAAGCAACTCCCGCCGATGGGTCGCTCTGAAATGGAGAATTCAGCTGCTTCCCTTCGCCCCAGAACGCCACCAATTTGTGCCTACACCGCCCAAGAAAAAAAAAACAGAGGATTCACAATTCCTACTTCCTCGATTCAAAAAACAATTTCAGGCAAACATGATTCCAAACAAGAAGAGTAAATACACAAAGCGAGGAGTCTTGAAGACGTATTTGCCGCCGGCGAGGGGATGAAGCACGGTCAGGAAGTAGTAGATGTGGCCGGCGACGATTCCCAGGATGTCCGGTTTCAGTGGGTTGCCGAAGATCAAATCCAGAGCCAACATTGCCCATGGAAGGTAGAATCCCTGTTTTCGCTAAAGTTAAAACAGAGCATAGAAGCTAAAATCGGCGGGGGAAAAAGGAAACAAATTTATAACCTTCAAGGAGACGAGTCCGTAAATGCTGATGCGGGCATTGGGGAATTCTCTTCCCCAGATGTAGACGATCATGAAAACCAGAGAAACTCCCATGAACGGCGACCACAGTACAGGAACTGCCGCCATCCCCTGCTTATTAGGAAGAAAGAGTGACATCACATTCACAGCTTGATTAATCCGGTGGAGACGTAAAATTCAGAAAAAAACAGAGTTTACTTACGAGAAGTGAGAGTGCTCCGAAGAATAACATCCACACGAAATCAGCGGTTCTCTGGTCGAAGGGTCCTCTCTCCAGGGAAACTCCATATTTCGCTCTGCATCAAAGAGATTGATTAGATTTGGACGAAAACAGAGGAAACAGAGTTGCTTAAGCTCTTCTATACTTACATGATGATTAGACGGAAAGCAAAGGGGAAGGAAAAAGGACCCAGGAAGAAGAAATTGGTGATCAGCCTCCAAATCTGCAGGAACCCATCAGTTAAAACAAGGAAAATCATTTGATTGAAGTAAATTAGAGTGGTAATTTTGGGTCATTGTTTGCCTGGAAGCGTTTGAAGACGTCGTCATAAAACAGAGCAATGTTCTCGGGGTTGTAAAGATCCAGGTAGAAAGCTGCGGTTGTCATTAGACAAGCCACTCCGTAGGTCTTGCTCACCGGCGGAAACGATCGATAGTATCTAGAATGTCACCCCCACCAATAAAATGATTCCCAAGAGAACTTTGTGGTAAGAAACCATGGAAGAGAATGACTTGATCATGAAACAGAGAGGGAGAGAGAGAGAGAGAGAGGTAGCTTACTCTCCAGGGGTGGACATGGTGGTTCAGGTTCAGCGCCAAGCAGCCGATCAAGAATCCTGAGCAAGATGGCTTGAAGATCGCAATTTTAAGGGCCTGGGGAAGAAAGAAACAGACCAGTTACTCTGTTTTTATGCCCAAGTTTGGAGTCTTTTTTAGGTTTTTACTGTTTTGCAAGACTCAAGTCAACGCAAGTCAGTCAAAAGTCGGATCAAGTGGAGGCGTTGACGTGGGGTGGTATATAGGAGTGTGCAACGGTTCCGGTCCGAATCCGAACTAAATTTATAAGAATTGCGGTCCAATAGTGAAAGATATTTTACGATCAAGACTGGATCAATAGTGAATTCGGTCTGGTTTGGTCGGTACAGTATATTTTTCTTTACTATTAGTAAGAATTTGTGGGACCAAGGGTTTGACCACTATTTGGTTAGCAACCCTACTTGTATATATCAATCCTAGTTTTGGCTCGTGCTATCCAATCGGTAAGAAGCTAATTGCATTTAAAATTTCATTCAAGCATTTAACGATTTAGTTGAAATAAAATACTTTACGTAGTTTCTTAATCAATACGAAAATACTTATGTAGTAAGTTTTGTTTAATTGATACGTATGAAATAATTATCCCTGCATAAGTTTTATGTAATTTATGGAATAGTATTGCGTAAAATTTCTGTAATGTGGTTTAATAATAGAATCAATTTATGCAAAGTGTCACAACTGATTAAACTACTATACAAAAGTTAAACTCAAATATGCAAATTAATGAGATGGTGAACGTTGTAGTTAATATTCAACGAGGAAAAAAATAGTTAATAATAAGAGAATTAATCTCCGAAAAACAAAACATTTGATTAAACTGTTATGCAAAAGTTAACTTTCAAATTGATGAGATGTGAATATTGTAGGTAATAAGAAAAAAAAATTAGTTAATAATAAAAGAATTATGTTATGAAAAGTATCTCATTTGAAATTTGATTTAAGTACGATTATATAAAACTAATTGACCTTGCATAATCTAATGCAAATTGATGACATGGTAAACAATTTAGCTAAATACTAAATGAATCTTATCTCAACCTTATACTACGAAAAACTTGCATATATATTTGTTTAATTGATACACACTCCATAAAATTAGTCATACCTAAGACTTAAAGCAATATGTTTTGTTTAATTGTTAATGGCGAACTGTATTTTCTATTTAGGTTTATATACAATAGTGGTAGGCTGGTAGCGCCATTAATGAGGTTGGCCTTGTTTCTACGTAAACTCTATTATCTTGGTTGGGCCTGGTTGTGTCTAGAAGGGATTTGACAGAGCCAGCTTCCACCGGCTTTCTTGTATCTCAAGTCTACCCTGAACAGTGATTCTTGTGAGAAATGGCTATTATTCAAACTCTTGACTGAATTACATTCCAAACAAAATGCTAACCCAACAGTATTGTTTCATCCAGTTTTCCTTGCTGCTCCGATCAGTTAACTTCGTGGAGAGGGCAGTTCAATTTATCAGAATGGAACGATTAGCAAAACGGAGACATAGATTACGACGAAATGATGATGCTGATGAACCATTTCCTTCATGGATAGCAAGCAAGTCGTTGCCTGCCTAATGCTTTTCTTTTTTTACTAAACAGGAGGGCCAGACGCAAAGAGGCTGATAAGGCCTCGGAACACTTGTGCCGACAGCTGGTGCGCTGGGAAAGGCTCGCCATCCAGGTTCCAAACACTCTCCTTCCCCATGGAAGTGAAGGTGAAAGCAGGTGTCTGGCAGACAAAAAAAACAGAAACACAATCAAGGATGAACCGACTACTGACAGAATGATTTGTGCAGCAGATGATGCGTCGAAGTTATACCTTGTGGTGTTCTACGAAACTGAAATTGAGGGGCTCGCCGCCTTTCTTTGCAAGCTGAGTAAGGTGCCTGACAACATCATTCCAAAAATAGCCATCGTTAAAAGCTCGAGCAATATGCCACAAAAGATCAAGCAAAAACGGCTCAAGAAAGTTTTATAGTCGCCAGGGGGGTACCATAGGTATAGAGCACGCGGGCAGTCTTTGATCAACAGGAGGTGCAAGAATCCGTCTGATAAGTGGGCCTCAGCAACCAGACCGTCCGGTGCTTTTTCGTTTCTGTTTGATATTATGGCGGCACCAACGCTGAGAAATCGTCCCGCACATTTCTGCCACCGTCCTCCTACTCCCCCTCCACGCCATGAATAGGGCGTTAAACGCTGTCTTGTTTTGGACATATGGACTGGCTTGGAATTACTACATACCCCACAATTCGCACGACAAATGACTCTTTGGGGTTTCTCCGAGCAACACATTGATTTCATCCAGCTGCTGCACGGATTACTACCTCTCTCAACTGGCGATTCCGGGTTTTCTGATTCTGATTCGAAGTATGCTACTTCTGCTTCATAAGACCTGGATAATGAAATGGCAAAATTCATAAAAATGTGAAACTCTGTTTGCACGCCACATTATTTCCTTGAGTTTGGAGTGGAAATTATGGAAGATTTTGGCTGTCTATGCTATATAGTTGGAACACTAACTAACTGCATGCTCGTGCTAAGTAACTATCATGCTGAGGATCTCCATGGTGATCCATCCGGGTCCAAGAAACATGCAAATCTAAGTAATTCTTCCACATGTTCATTTATATGCTTCAACTGTGTGCAGCAAAAGGTACAGAAGCGAGGAAACATTCCATCTCATACAAAAAAGCAAATATAAAGGAATTCAAGTATGCATTGACATTTGCAAGTAAACATTTTTGGAGGCGTACCGGTGTCTCAAGAACACTTTAGTTCCGGCATAATCATAGCGCTTGGGGCCCATCCAGCGGTAGTTTTCACTCTCAGTAATGACATCTCCATAAAATCCATACCTATTAAGGATATCTCAATTAGAATTAAGAATATAAGTCATCCACAGCTGAACAAAATGAAAAAGGTGTTCTACGGAAAAAAAAAAATGAAAAAGAAAAAAAGAACAAGGGAATATCCTGCCTGCTACTATATATAGAGCAGAGAGAACCCCACTTTCGAAACCAAATGCACAAAAACTAGAGCACTTAATAAAAAACCAATGGAGTATAATAAGACCAAGACAAAAGGGAGAAATTACCCAGCAAAAGAAGCTGCATAGCGTACACAAGGATCGACATCCGCTGTAAATGTTGTCTTCCACCTCACTACTTGAGCTATATCAAGAGAGATTCTTTTTCCGAGGACAATTTGCAGGGCAGAGGTTATAGGATCTCGAGTTCCAGTAGTGCTACAATATAAGGATGAAAACAAGGGTTCAGTATTTCACAATCAACAAGCAAAGATGATCATATGAAATCCATAATGTTATATTGTAACAGAAAGAATTACTCAAGCAAGCAAGTACCACATCACAATGGCATCTGTAGAACCAGCTGGAATAATTCCGAATCTCAAGTGTTCACGAGGAAATGGAAAGTCGAGCTCTTCATCTTCAGAAAATAAATATTGAAATTTAACCATTACTAAATTTTCAGCCACATCCAAGTCGTATTCGCTAGAAATGCGTTAATTTTACATAGTGAATATCACTGACCTGTGTAGCCTGAGTCATTTTCGGTACCTGTAATTTCATGAACTTGTTAGGATAACAATCTTAACAACAAACAAAAATGCAAAAGCATGAATGGACAGGTAAATCAAAATGCCATACTGGAATTTGCCAACCCAATGGCTTTATGAGTTGAAGAGGATGAAAGAAGGGGAGACGCAGCTTCAGTTTCAGGAGTTTCAGATGTGGCCTCTCGTGTATCATGGCCTAAAACAGGGCCATTACTCCTAGTCAAGTGAAGGATGTCTGAAGGAGATGGTGGATGAGGAGCTCTAAGCCTAAAAAGTAGAAATCCATTAAGGACTTCATTGAAGAAGCCATCACCACCCTAGAAAAAACCAATGAGCAGAAACAGTAATCAGGAACTCAGACAGCATGCACGGACAATAAGGTAACACAGAGATCACAAGTATCCGCGAAATGGGAAATTTTAAGTGCTTACAACAATTATGACACCATCATATGAACGTAGCTCCTCATTTGAGCTAGAAATCATGGCATCAAAAGCCTGTCCTGCCCTCTCTGTCACAATCACCTGAAGGTAAATTAGAAAGTATTTCGAATCATGCTTGAATGGATAACGAGCAAAATTATGGTGATGCATAACTATATATAACCATGATCAGTAGATCAATCTTAAATATCAACATGTTCAATTATTCTAATCTTTATTCAAATGAAATTAAGCAAGTTAATTATGACCGTCAAGGATTCCAGAATTATCTAACAGATGGCCTACAGGTTTCACATCGCAGTTCAAATATTTTCACCTTGTTGGCCCTAAAATGTGAAAATTATCATGCATTTTCAAGGAACTGAAGGCGGGGTTAAGAAAAACTCATCAATAAACTTGATTGGACATAACAATAAAGTATAAACGCCCACCAAAATTTATACCCTAATACATGCATTCTAAGTCTGCACATAATCTGATACAAGGTCAAAAGCATCTTCAAGGGTTCTTATTGCACAGTTAGGTCACCAAGACTGAGAATCTGGAGACATGGAAGCCCTTCACCTAGATCTGATGCCCCTGCATCCGATTTCTGTTTTAATTTTACCTAGTAGGTAACTTCCATTGATATCAAGCTAATTTGTGCCGTTTCATACCAAGTTCAATAACGAACATAAAGTAAGCTTCCTAGCATATTCATAGATGCATACAGTATCAGAAAGTTTACCTTTGTAGCTACTTTAGCACGCGAAAATACCGGAGCCACATTTTCCCACGTTCTGCAACCATGTTTTTTCCCACTCCTTGGATTAACGAAAACCTAGTCAATAAGAAATAAAGTCTGGAAACAACTTTATAACTAGTTTATCCCATTGTCCACTGATAGTGTATGTAGAGACCCAAATATGAATGAGAGTAACTGAACGAACCAGAAGATTCTTTGGTCTGTCAACTTCCATTTTCAGAGAAGCGTCGATCCAATCAGTCCACATGTGGCAGATCTCTGAATCCTTGTGGCCGAAAGTGTATGTTGCCAGACAAAGTTGAGAGTGCTGCGACTTCTTAATACCATGCACCGTGAAGCGATACATCTATTCAACAAGCTTAGGAAATAGCATTACAATATGATCTCCTAATCATTAAGAAAATTTATGCAAATGAAATGCCAATTCAAGAAACCTGGGTGTCACCATGCCCATGGAGTGATATCAGCTTCCCTATGTTAGGGTGATTAGAACCGCGAATTACGCCATAGCTGATCAACTCCACCCCATATATCTCTGAGAATTTTATCTCAGTGACAACGTCGCCGCCCAATTTGATCCCAAAGCAAGAAGATAAATCCTATTCCACAGTTAACAACGTTGTCAGCACATTTCAATCAACATCTCCATAAAATTGGACCAACATTGCCGAATCAAAGAGGTTCCTTGTAAAGCGATCAAACAATGAGATTCCTAGAAACAAAAGGCGAACCCCTTTTAATCAAAAGACCAACAAATTCATGCGGAAGCAAATCAACGTCTTCCCAGCTAATGCGTTCCTCAAAGATCCAAGAAAAAAAAACGACATTTACAAAAGGGTAACTCACCTTATAATCAGAATCCGGGAATTTCCACGACAACCCATCAGAACCGAGTGTGAGAACCACTTCCCCGACGTTATCCATGAAAAGGGTCGAGGTCGAAGCGGAAGAAGACGCTTGCTCGCCGTCAGAATCGCCATCAGCAGAGGCAGACGCGTCGGATGTGGTGGTAGCGCTGGTTCTCTCTTCTGTTTTCTCCACTAAACGAGAGTCCTCTCCCTCCATAATTGTCTGTCTGTGAAAGTTCCTCTAGCGGATGATCGATCGAGCAGATTCACAGGCAGACGATGGCTTGAAATTAGACGATCCAGAAACCCAAGCCGAGATTCTCAGTTGAGTTTATTGGACTGGGATACAAACAAAACGGTATTTGCTCTCCCTGCAGATGTGAGTTGTAGTCTTGTAGATACTTCGGTTTGTTTGTTTCGTTGGGCTTTTCTACAAACTCGTCCGCCTGTTGTTTCTGTTATTAGAAGTCCATAACAGGCAACATGAACCAGGCTATATGTTATTTGGTCTAAAATAGGTTGCATGACTGAGACCAACATAATCAGCTTTGTGGTGGGGTCGAATCTAAATGAGATTAAAAGAGTTTTCTCCCTATTTTGTAATTAGTTTTTATCAATTTTTTTTAATTTGGATTACAAAATAATTTACAGTGATGGAATGAGTTTGTTGTGATCTACAAAATTTTATCTACTGTCAATGTATTTCAATAAAAAAAAAATTCGAATCACCAATACCACTCTTTACCACCTGTTATCACATGATACTTCTTTGTATCACCCTCTCTTATCACTCAAATTTAAAATAAAAAAATTGACGAGAATTGTATCTACAAATTTATGTGGGGGAATTTCACGACCAAATATATCACCCTAGTATACGGTGGCAACTGGTGAATGACGGTGATAAAAGGTGGTAAATGACAATTAGTGTATCCACATTATCATGTATACAACCATTCTACAATATTGTATATTTATACCATTATGGTATAATATTATGTACTAGTACTACCAAGCATTACCATCATGGTATGAACCGGTAATAAATATCACAAATTTTGTATTCAAATTATATCGATGTCATTTTAAAAAGCACAATTAATCTGATTTACCTATGCAAAAAATTAAATTACGCCTTAAACTAAAATATATAACTCGTTAAAACTGATTGAGAAATATATAACTAGTTAAAACTGATTGAGAAAAAGTTAGCTTCTCATAAATGATAACGGTTATACTAATTCATAATCATACACTAATAACACTTACCATCTAGACAACTAATTTTTTACCATTTTTTTTTTTATACGAGTAAGAAAAGATAAATATTTGTGAAGACATCGGTACTGCAACTTGACTTGTGTAAACTTCTAATTGCAATATTTGTCTGGCAATGTACAATGAGATCACAATCAGATGCGTGAAGTGAATACACTATTTCGATCCAATGTTTGGACAAACATAATAAGGATGGGGACAACGCTGTTGGTCACCATCAAGAGACAAGCTTCTGGTGGAGAGTGAACGAAGGTGTTTTGGAAGAACACAGCAAGAGCAGATGCGTGTTCATAAGGTGGCTTTTTGATCGGGCAACACTGTGAAAACTTCCACGTCTTTCATATGAGCATTCCTGACCGAATACTGGAACGTCCATCCATGGCAAGATCCAGCATGGACTCCATTCGTGTTCACTGCGAACACTGCTCCCACGAAATCGGGGAACTTTCTTGCGATTCGGGAAATTGCATCCTCGGCAGCTAGCTTAGGTTCCATGCCTCGTCTCATACTTTCCACAACTTGGTAGCTGGAAAAAGAGGAAATGACTGGAGATATTTGAGTCTCAACTCAAGCAATGGTAATAAGACCACAAGGGCATGGCAGTTTGGCTAAAGTTTCCAAGAGATGGTTCAGAACCTTCCGTTTCACAACTTAAAACAGACTACAGGTGGATATAGAGCAATGTACCAAGGAAGGAAGCGCATCATGATGTCTCCATCGCCAGTAGCACCACAAGCTCCTACTTCACTATCTGCATAGGCTGCAGATCCTGCAATGGGTCCATCTCCAACCCTGTAACCCCAGAAAAACTTCTACCGAGTTAGCATCTCGATATAAATGTCTGCTCTGCCTACAAACAGTTCATATTCAGGTGTTATTCGGATGGTGGATTATCGAGATTGGCATTAGTAGATTATGAGACTACATAACTTCTGAAGAAATAAATAGCTCTGGAAATAGATATAAATTATCATAGTGTATTATTTGGTATAAGTCTTTGCTGCATGTGGATCACAGGGAGTGCATTGTATCCATAATGCTACACATACTAAAATAGCCTTAACTTTAACTTTCCGCAACAATAGACTAGGAGATTGGAAAAAGCACGGCACATTCTGGCAAGCTACCCTTCACTCAATCATTCTATAACAAACCTACGGAGATTATCCAATAGATCGTTGCAATAATATACCCGCAGTGCACAATCCACCCTACCAGATGCACACAACGAGCCCTAACTACTCGTTCATCGAAACTGGAAATACAACATCAAACAACACCTTACATACAAAGTTCTATAAACAAGAGTTTCCAGTAACCACAGTTACTCACCTGCCAGGGATCTTAAAAGTGGCTCCATTAGTTGACGTACCAGCAGCTATGTGCCCCATCTGCACAAAAGTAACTTCAAAGGTGAAGTCTTTACAGAAGAAAGTTCACAACTTGCATATAATTCAAAGTTGAAGTTTTTTTCCAGACTTACTCTGTCGAAAACAGCCATTGATATGGTGTCATGGTTGTGAGGCCCAACAAGACATGATCTTGATTCAGTTTCTTCCACTGAGCCGGACTGGGAACACCCGACCTTTTTACTACCTACACTGTCCCTAGCACGATAAGGACCACAACCATTTGCAGGTATCACATCCCGCCTGAAATTGGGTTGGCAACCATTATCCTTCCAGTTACTCCACGTCTCTATGGACTCCGATGAACTGAGGTTGGTCGGCCCTTGGAGACCCATTGAAATAGCAAAAACTGAAGCCTGCTCTCCAACAAGGAAAGTATGCTTCGAGTACTGCATCACCAATTTAGCTGCTTTGATCCCGTCTTTTACATATCTCATGGCGCCAACAGCTCCCACCTCCATGGTCACCTATGCATACCCTTGTGCCAAAATGGGAGAGTAAGCAACTAAGCATCAATACAAAATAGCAACGAGAGGAACCAAGGAGTGACAGGACTATTGGTGGTTACCCCATTCATGATCATGGCATCAATTGTGGTTTCTGCATTCTCATCAGGACTCCCACCAGGCCCCACTGGTCATTCCAGCCATGACACATAAACACAAGCTTAGCAAAACATAAAACTCGAATTGACCAACAAATCTAACAACCTTACAAACACCACTACCAGAACGGAACCACAATTGAATACATCCATAACCAAGCCAATTCCTTTTGGTAAACCCATGAAGTGGATATAGCTAATTTGAGCTCAAAGATTCAAAACGATGCTGATACAATGACAATCAGAACAAAATAGACGCAGTTTGATAGTGCGAACAGCTCGATTCTTTTTTTTACCTGTGCCATCACACCTCAAAACTTCACAAGTAGAACAACCCTCCACAACAGAATCGACGGCGGAAAGGCCAGAGTCAACGGCCCTCCAAGCAGCTCTGACTGCTTCTCTGAATGGCCAAGTGCTCACTACTAAAGGATACTGCGTTGAAATCCCGACGCCGGAGCTTTCAGCCACCTGATACAGTCATGGAAATAAGGAATCACTCAACCAGGCAGGCATCCGGCGGTCTGAAGTTAGGTGAAAACAAGGAGAGAAAAATTTTACCGCGAGAAAGGAGGTGAGGACGTAGACAAGAGCGAGGCGATTTTTTCCCGGCAGCATCGATCGTGAATGGGGGTCTCGACTGGTTGCCTCCAGTTCTTTCATTCGCTTTCTGGCAGTTCGTGAGCCTGCCGGCGGTGAGAAAGTAGAGAATTTTATTCGCCGGCGATTGTAATATGCGAGTAGTGAGTCGGGACTCGTTACTGGATCGTTGGGAATACCAGTGGCAATGTGGCATGACAGCCGGCTCCTTTTCTTTTTGGTTGGATTTGCCAAGACGACAACGTTTTTTGCCACTACCGGCAGAAAAGAGAAAATCTGGAATATTTTGCTTAATTAATTTCAAATAAATTATAAGATTTGGTCCTCGACTCCTCGTTACTAATTTTGTTTAATTTTTGTCAATAAATTTTGTTACCTCAACTCAATTTATTTCACTTTTTCACTTGTAATTTTCTTTTCTTACTAGTAATTGACTATACTCCTTGTTTCATCGTTGGGTACTGATTGTCCATCTCCGCTAAAGTAGTTCTAAGTGATAGTCAACTAAAAAATTTAATCGTCGAGTAGTTCATATGTCAACGAGGACGGAATACTTATCGGATAGAGGAAGCAGCAGCAGATCTTCCTCCGTCTGTCGAGCATTCCATCCCTGTTGAAGTTCAAACTCCACCTCCAACGTCGTGTGCCTGGAGATTTTACCTACAATGAAAATCGCTTTTGACACATTCGATCAGCATGTTTGATTGCTTTCAGCGGAAGCAGTTCATCATCTCTTTAGTCTCGAATGATCTGGTCCAAATCCAAACATGTGTAGTTGTATGATGCGAATTACTTATAGCAATGAGTACATTGGGGGGAAAATCTGAAAAAAGGAAAACGGGAAGGACCACAACTACAACTTACAAGAATTATGTTTCTATAGCAACCGATATTCGGGAAACATACTTCACCCAACAAAACAAGAGGATTGTTATTTGCCGCCCGGGAATTTACTATTTGCCGCCCATAATTTTGGTAAAAATGTCATTTTTACCCTTCATTTAATTTTTATAACACAAATCTCGTCCACCACCAGCGAACCACCATCACCGTTCTTCCAAGAAAAGACCACCATCACCATCCACGCTAGATCACCGCTGCCAGATGAGATCCCATCCCGGCGGCGGACGCCGTCCGACCACGGCCGGCGGACCCCGTCCGACCACGGCGGGCGGACCCCGTCCGACCACGGCGGGCGGGCCCCGTCCGACCACGGCGGGCGGGCCCCGTCCGACCACGGCGGGCGGGCCCCGTCCGACCACGGTGGGCGGACCGGTCCAACCACGGCCGGCGGCGACGATGAGTTCCTTTGTGGCGGCGATCTTTATCAATTAATAAAATTAATTTAATATAATGAGATGAGATGAGATGAGACGTGAGTGATTGGGAATTGGGAACGAATCTATCACTGAAAACTAAATGACACGTTAGATTAGCACTAATTAAATTCATAATTTAAACACTAATTCTGAAATTTTACAATTAGTTAAATACTTTGCCTACAAAATAGTTATTTAATTGAAAAAAAGTAAAAGCAACGGCAAAAAGTGGAATCCCTTAATGGCAGTTACCAAAAAATATAAATAAAAATTAAGGTTAAAAACCCATACTCCTCCCCCCATTACGACGTCTAGTTAACTTCCTAATCCTAAATCAATACTAACTCCTCCAATTTACCGTATTACTAGTATTTTTATTTTATAATTATTTAAAATAAGAGATGGAGAAGGAGTTTAGACGGGTTAATTGGAGAGAGAAGTAATTAATATTATGATTTGTATTATAAGATTAAATAATTATGATATTTTATAATAATTTAAAGATTTATCCCAATTCAGTTAAATTCACCTACTCAAACACGGAAATTAAGAAAATCCTAAACTTACTTTAATTAATTAAGAAGGGGCTTCACCAAAAAAATAATAATTAAGAAGGGTGGAGAAATACAATTGTTAATTAACCCTCACCGATCCCTTAAAATGTGGAGAGGATTGTGGTGGAATCAACCGTTTCTCGATTTAATGTCCCGATAAAAAAAAAGATGAATAGTGTCGAAATTTCCTTCTTGGTTTTTGGAGGCTTCGTGGATCGTAACGAGGTGTTTCTTGAGCCTACTACGCGTATTTCGATGATGCGAACAAATGTTGTTAGTGGTAGTAGAGATGATTTTGCTTCTAAAACAATGTCGTAGTAGGAATGAATGGATTGAGGTTCCAGTTAACTATTTTGTTGGAATAAGGGTTTAGAGTTTGGGAGGGATTGAAAATGTACATTGGGAAAGAGATGCTTTGCTTCTTTTGGATTGTGTTAACGAATATACCTAATTTACTAATTATATCATTATACTATTGATCAAATGCTAATCTCATTAATCTATAATCCGGTCACACCATATATTAAAATAATATATCTATAATTTTATCATTAAGTTAACCCATACCCACGTATTGTTTCATCAAGTAATTTTTTTGGATTGTCTTTATTAATAAAAAATTTCCTTTTGATGGGCTTAGTCGTGTCAATTAGGGAATTGAACCTAGACGTGGGTTAATTATTAGAGATGTTAATTGGGAACTAATTACTATATTTAATTATTTCCATAATTACCGTAGGACGTTAATTAGAGAAATAGATGTATATATATATGGATTAATTAGAGAAATTTTGGTATTTAATAAAATATTTAATATTAATTATGTCAAATCCTAATCTGGGTCAAACCCTCCTTTTTGGATCCGTTATTTTTTGGATCCGTTACGCAAACAATATAAAAATTACCTTAAGTGATTAAATTAAAATCACCTACTACTATTAAAATAGGTAATTAATTATTAAATTTTGGTTCCCCTAATTCCGTTGGTAGAATTAAGGAAAGATTGATTGTGTCAATTATTATCATAATCCATTTTTCTGTTTCCAATTCATAACAATCTTAAATAATATTAACGAAAAACTAATTTGTATTACAAAAAAAAAAACTCCGTCTGACTCTTGCCGGCGGCCCGGTCCGACTCCCGGCGGCGGACCGCGTCCGACTCCCGGCGGCGGACCCCGTCCGACTCCCGGCGGCGGACCCCGTCCGACTCCCGGCGGCGGACCCCGTCCGAACTCCGGCAGCGGACCCGTCCGAATTCCGACGGCGGACCGAGCTTCTACGACTCTGTCGTGAGGTGAGGGAGGGGAGGGGAACAACGACTGTGATTTTGGGAGAGAGGGAGTGAGAAGGTGACGGGCGGCAGAGGTGGTCTCTGGTGACTAGGGTGGTTGGCGGTGGAGGTTGTTTATAGTGGCCAGCGGTGGAGATTTTACAGGTGGCCGGCGGCCATGTTTGGGAGGGAGGGTTGGGAATAGATAGGTTTAGGGTTTAAATTAGAGAAGGGGCAAATTCGTCATATTTTTTGTAACTACGGGCGGCAAATAGTAAAAGCACGAGCGGCAAATAGCGATTCAGCAAAACAAACCAAGGATTGTAAAACCGTATCGAAGGCTGTACCGGAAAAGTCAACGATATGAGATTTTATGCTTAAACCGTGGTCCGACCATTACATACCGCTAAATTTTGCATTTCAATTCAACCTTCGATAGGAGATTTTTTTTCTAGTTGACCATTGATACGGTTTTTCAATCCTTGAATTTGAAACAAACCAAAACCTGTTGATGCAACGTCCAAATGCTTCCCCCTTCTAAAACATATTATGGACACACAGAATCTATAAAATGCTGGCATTTACAAGCAGATCAGAAGCAGGCATCTGGAAACTGCAAATCAGAGAATTCAAGAACACAAAGGATCCTTTCCTTGCTCCCACCTTATCTCCAAACCGTTTCATTTGCGTCCGTGAAAATGGAGTTGTGTTGCTCAATGAGGCACTGTATAACTTCAATAGCACCAAAGTCCACCGGTGCACCGTCATCCAGTGGAATGGCTGAGGAGACTTCCATTTCTTCACCTTCTTCTGTCGAGCCACGAACAACAAAGATAAAAGAATGAGTATATACACCTTGATTATCAATTAAACATATTCTTATAACGTTCAACACACCAGAGAGCAGGTCCCATTCAGTGAGTGTAGGTTTCCCATCTGTGCCGTCGGTCTTGGACGAATTTCTGAACATGGAATTCCAGTATTGTCTATAAGATTCTGGTCTCTGCTCTTTCCGCCACATCACAACAGGGGCCATTTCCATGGCAAGGCTTCTAGCATCCATCTGCAGAAAAGGTTGAATAAGAAGCAAACGCAACATTAGTATGCATAGAAGGTTCTCATCTCAAGTTCAAATTCTTGGGCTTAAATATCACGAAAATCTGATAACTCTGTGGTAACCAGACACGACAAAGATTAGTTTTGCATACAAGAGACCCAATCACATGCCAGAAAAACAAAATTACTGGAAATTCCAGAGACTCCATGGATTATTATCCATGATTGATAAATAGGCAATAGAAAAGAAGCCCAAAGGTATCCATCCTGTTGAAACTGGGAAAAGTGCTAAACCTAGTTTTCACCATGTAACAAACAATCATATGGATTCCCCAAAAGCCCATTGTTATAAACTATATGGGGAATGGATGGATGGATGGATGTAGAGAGAGTGAGACAGAGTCTTCTTGCCTTGTTGAGAAGTGATTTCTGACTAACACGGAGAAACAGCGCAGTGACGAACTCCAGTGTCATGTAATTTACAGTAGGAAGCCTCTTGAGGATATTCCTCATTGCATGTATGTTAGATCGCGCACCTTTAATGGCATCATAGTGCTCAAAGGTGGTTAGGGGCTCAGGAAGACTTGCCAGATAACATTTCATTAGAAATGCCACATCGATGGGATTAATGCCATCAGGCAGTGAAGCATCAAAATCTGCAACAGCATACCAGCATATTAAGTTAATTCTAAGAGCATTTCAACAAATTGATTTTTGGTAGGCAATAGTCAAGATACCTTGGTTGAACAGTGAAACCAGATGCTGGACAGTAACTTTTTCCCCTTCATCTTTAAACAAGTGAACAGAGTTTAACCCTGAAATAATTTTTTCTAATGAGAATCTGCTTACTTATCTGATATACAGTCAATATAGAGAAGGAACCAGGAAGAAAAAATGTAGACTTACATCAGTTCTCCAAAAAAAGCTATACCTGATAATATGAGATAATCTGCACACTTCAATAAAACAATAGGTACGGGCCTACTATATTGTTGTCGCTGTACAGTTAGCTCTATGGGAACCCCAAAAACTGAGATATAAAAATATAAATATTAGTATGCAAGTCAGTAATACTTAAAAATATGTCCATATTGGCAGGAAAGACTAAGTAGTCCTCCATCTTCCAGGTACTGATGCCTGGCTTTACTCCTAAGACGAGGAACTCAAGAACAAGATGTCAAGATCCCGATTTGTTAACAACACAAACAGCAGAGTTTGATTTCCATCTTTTCAGTGATTCAAAGCTTTCTGACATCCTATGTATGATGTTCACATAATTTTTCAACAGAATCCAGCAGTGGAATCTATCTACAGACCACAATAGAATACGGAACCTCCAAAGTCAAAGTTAAAAATCCAGAGGGAAAAGACGCACTCAAAGTAGATAAAAAAAGCAAGTACGCCTAACCATTTAAGAATCTAGGTATTTACATATCTATAAGACTTACCATCAGTACTTGCAACTCCCTGAAAAATAAAACGGACAAAGAGAAAAAATTAGAAACACAAAACAATCACCAATATTCAACAGGATAAAAGGAAAAGGATAACTGAATCCCATACCTTTTGCCATCTTTCAATGTCAGTCAAGATGACCTTGCTTTTCTGGGCAGTTTTCTTGGCTACCTGAAAGAGATTCAGAATTTGCAATTACTCGGTACATTCGTGTGATGGCTGCTGTCCTTTCTTTTTACATGCACATGTGAACTGTGGGTGAGGTGTTCCAGATTGCCAAACCAGTCAAAACACTAAAAAAGAAATACCTCTTCAACTTTAGTCTTCCCAACAGAAACTTTATCCTTTGTCTCGGAGAAGCCCTTTCTTAAGAACATGCCAGTCGTAGCAGCAGCAGTAATAAAACGTTCCTGGAGGATATGCCTGGTTGATGGCTCCTTCAGAATTGCCCATCGACTTTTCACAGCCGATCCAACACGTTCCGCAGCATCAGCAACATTACCTTTAGCATCCTTTGCAACTTCCCCAACAAATGTTCCTGCGGAGTTCCCAGCTTCTTTGAGTTTTACACCTGGGTTATGATCACCAGTTTAGCAGAAGATAGTAGAAAATATATCGCCAGAAAAGCGTTATCTGGAACATTTATCAGAGAATACCTGAGGTGGAGAAGAAAACAGTGGCCTTTTCTTGCCACTGAGGGGAGACGGCAGAAGGCATCGCAGCAGATCTTTCTAAAGGCGGCAAGTATACCTGTTTACCCAGAAAACCCCGGATATCAGAATTACCACAATTAAACAGATGACCAAATCAAAATCACACCTCCAAATGGGCTAAAGGGATAGTTATACATATTGGACGTGCCCAGATAATCGTCATTAACAAGAAAGAAAGAAGACAAACGCAAGATTCTGTCGCTTACTCAACGAACTCTTTGATAAAAACAAAAAGGGTATCATATCAATCAAACTGTAATGGACTATAATTTGTCAGCCTCCGAATCTCGATCAATCGGCAAACAAAAAACGGATAAATCACGAACCCAGTCAAAGAAAATGAAGCAGGAATCTTCCCAATCGGAAAACCAGTCAAACATAGAATTTGTACAGATTGAAGAACAGCTCAAAATAGGAAAACACAGAGGAAGCTATTTGATCTGATATCTTTCAGTCTGAGAGACGAACAAACGAACCAGAACTCAAGGGTAACATAAAGCAAATTCCTTAAACACGTAAACGCAAGAATCTTCTCGATCGAACAACCAAGGAGATAAATGATCTGTGGGAAGCTTAAAAAAAAAACCCTAACAATCCTACGGAGAGAGTAAAGCTGAATTTTCACCTGTTCACAGTTGTTAGGAAGAAGCGGAGGACGAGGAGACGGAGCAGCAGAAAGCAGCCGGAAGCGGAAGCCGGCTTCGATGGTAAAGAAGGGAGAGGAGAGGGAGAGCTGTGGGGGGGAAGAGATTCCGGCGGCGGCGGCGGTCAATTGGGCGCTGCTGCCGAAAAAGCGAGAGAGTCGAGGGAAAGAGTTGGGAGTTGAAAAGGTTGGAAATTTGGATAGCCGTTTGGTTGTTTGTTAGGAATTTGTGAAGAACCGCGTCGTCGAGTCGTTGTAGTACTGCGTGGAGAACGGCCGGGCCAGCGGGATGCTCTTTAGAGGCAGGAAATGGCGTGGGTGAGAGAGATGCCGGTTTGGACGACTGACTGGCCTTGGAAAAACCACACCGTTATGTTATAAGGGATGAGATGGAAGGTTGTCAAATCGGTTTAAGTCGTTGACCCAATTGAATAAGTAGTTTGATGTTTAATTTTTTGATTGCGGTCAAGTTCGGATAAGAAGGAGAAAATACTATGTAATGTCGGTTAGCATTAGGTTTTTATCTTTGGGAGTTGGTGTAAATAGGGGTCTTGGTCTTTAGGTAAAGGTATTCGGAACATCGAAAGGTCAAAAGTATCTCCGTTTTGCGGGTGAACTGCGACATGTTTCGTGATCCTAACCTTTAGTAGTTTAGACTCGCATGGTATAAGAGGATAAGCCATGTATGCTCCCTCCCTCTCGATATCGAGCTAAACACCACATGTTATTTAGAGGATGGAGCCATGAGTATTAATATACCTTTTTAGTAATAATATGTCGAATTTAAGCTCACACTTGTGATCATCACTCTTGTTTGCCTACCCCCGACTAGTCATGCATGGCAAACGAGAAATCATGCCTGCATGCTAGCTTGTATTTCGAAGAACCAATGTGCATGCATTGGAATTGACGAATAATTGATGATTGTCTATGACAATCGAGAAATCACACATAGACAATCACTGGATCACCAATCAAGAGATTACTCAAGTTATTTCACTAGGTATGCCACTACTGTCACTGATGCAAGTTTTTCATAACGATCTGTGGTAGACGAGAAATTGCAAATATAGGGATAGCTACCACCGTTTCATGACGAGAAATCATTGGCGAAAGTACGTATGAGTATGATAGTAAGGTTAGGTGGGATAATCCAAGCACTTCGAACCTGAACTCGATGTCTTCTTCTAAATAGAGTTGGTATCATTGAGGGAAGCTACCCTAATCAACTTACACTTATACTTTACTTTGTTTTCCAACCGCTCCCAATGCCATTGTTACTTTCCAGCCTAGTATCTAAAGCAATCTAGGAACCTCAACCCCACATAAAACATCTCGAATCACTAGTAGTGGGTCTCAAGTAACTACATTGCTAGCCCTGTGGACTATGACCTTAGACATATTGTTTCGATAATAAATTATTTTTTGCAGCAATGCAGCATACTACAGTCAGAAGAGGGTCCTGAAGAGCCTCCTGAAACACTCTTGTCCACGTTAAACTATGCAAAGTACCGTTGATCTCGTTGTTAGTGGAATCAGATAACCGGACCTAGCACAAGTCATACACAAGAAGACCTACACAAGAGCTAAACGACACACCCTTAAAGGAAAATGTCGGATAAAACAAACAAAACAAGAGTGAAAGACAATAAACTAAAATGCCTAAACTAGCAATTAGTAATGTTCATGTCACAATAACTCACAAGTCCTTAACAACGGTGCCAAAAATTTGGTGTCTGGAACATCTATTGAATTTTTCGTATATTGTATACATGGTGAGATGGCAATTGCAGACAAAAAATATTAATCAAAATGTGGGATATGGTATCGTACCCGAATTTCTATTTGGCGAATACTAGATCATAATTGTCTAAACCCAAACCCTAAAATCAATTTAGTAGGCATAAGCTAATCTTTCCCTAAATAGCACATTTTGGTTTGACTATTGCATACTCTAGGGATATACTAGCATAACTATACGACCTCAAACTACCTTATGCTGAGTTAATCTGGTTTATAACGTACGTTTAGTGAGGTGTCGGACGCTATCTAGGCATGAATTGAATGAGATTTTGGATATGGTGATATAGCTTGATCTCTAATGGCTAAATCCTATACAATAATTCTCTAAACATTAAATCCTAAAATTAAGTAATTGAAAACAAACATTAAATGATTATGATGTATCAAAATATAAGCAACATCAAAGGTTCACTAAAATAATGGTAAATAAAACAAAATATGATGAAACAAACCTACCCATGCTAAGTCGTTAGTTATTATTAGGGCAATGTCTATTTTTTATCCAAATCTTTTTTGGATTCTTTTTTATTAGCCAAACCTATTAAAATACTAAGAATTAACTAAATGTTAACTTTCAATTAGCAATTTTGTTAGTAATATTGACTTGGCAACATGATACTGATTTGGAAAAGACACATGAAGGTCAACATTACAAAATTTTAGTATTTTAACTAAGAAAAGAGTTACAAAATTAATAACGATAACGTAAAAATGACTAATATTTTGATTCATTACGAAAGATTTGGATAATTAATAGCATTTTAATAGGTTTGGATAAAATAAAAGAATCTGAAAAAGGTTTGGATAAAAAATAGACATTACCCTTATTATTATGAGAGGGGCAACAATTCAACTAGAGTAAATGTCAACCTTCAATTTGAGCTTTGGGTTGATATCATGTATTAAATAATTTTGAATTATTTTATTCAAGTAGCTCTAAACTATTAGAAATAAATTTTTTTATACTTTTAGTAAAAAGTTGTGGTTTTTTCCCCTAGTGAATGCTAGGCACATTAGGGTAAAATTTCGAACCATATGTAACACCGTAACTCAGATAGTTGAAGATTAAGCCTATCCAATTAGAAATTGAATACCTCAAATACAAAGTTACATGTAGTCATGAGAACCCATACAGTAATAAGAGATATAAACAATCAAAATCATCTCCGAATTCTTTGGCTTATTTATTTGAAAGTTGTCTAATTTTTTCCCCATTTACTTTGTCTCTTCAAAATTGATTTTGCTAACAAACAAAACAACATCTCTTTCTTTTTTTTAATCCTCAAACGAAGATTATCGGACTGGATTAGACATAGCTCTCTCCTTCCTCGCATATCCATACATGGTTTGGCCCTAAACGATAAGGAACAGAAGCAAGACGCAAGATATTGTAAATTGTACATATCACAAATTTGGTGATTAGTTTTGTTCCTTTTTCTTAGTATTACCCTCCCCTGTTAAATTCTGCAAACTTTTTCAGATTCAGGGAGAAGAAAAGAGGTTTGAGAAGTGAGATTATGGGAAGAAAAATCGATCACCAAAACCATCAGCCACAATTCCCAGGGAGACATCCAGGTTGCATGTGGGGAATACTTCATGTCCTCAAGTACCAACGTTGGCGTTACATCAAGAAGCGCCTTCCTCATCGAAGACCCTCTTCCACTCCGCAAGACGACGATCATCAACACCCTATCGGTAACCAAATACTCGTAATTCTTATCACCACCAACGTTGTTGTATCTACAAGTAACGAGATGATTATAATGTATTACTTTGGACACAGGGTTTCATGGCGGCGAAGGAGGTTACCACGACAATTATGGTTGGAAAGGAAGTGGTGAAACTCAAACGCAATCGGACAATGCTCGCGTTAATCAATGCCCGGTTGGCGACGAGAAAACAACCAAATCAAATTCCTCGACGAAGAGTTCGATCAGATCGAGATTGAAATCGCTCATATCCGACGAGCTTTATCGAAAGAAAGACAGCCAGCATCGCAGAAGTTATACATGTCCTATTGGAGAACAACAGCAGCAACACCAACACCACCACCAACAACAACAACATGTTACATTTCATCCTCAAGCTCATGTAGAAACAGAGAAACCACTGCCACCATTACCACCACCAGCAGTTGATGTAACGAATCACGAAGACGACGACGAGATCGATACCCGTGATGTTCGAGAAAGCAAGTCGTCGATTCCTCCTCGCGAAGAGACGAGATTCGACGAGGATGGTTTCAGGAGCAAGGAAATCTCGAATGCTCTGGACATGGCAGTCATGAACAAGGAGTTTCTAGCTACGATTTTGCAGGACCGGCATTCTCATTTGGCTCCTCGATCCACTGCTCGAAGGAACCGGTACTACAAGTCGATGTCGTTCCCTTCCACCTCGCTCGATTCTGCTTCGCTGAAAGAACCCCCGCAGAAGCAACAGGGTGCGGGGAAATCGAACGAGGCCGACAGAGTTGCTCCGCGACGACAACAACGATTGGAAAGTCACCTACTCGACTCGAGATCTTATGCGCGCTCGCGCTCGATGTCGACCATCACCGCCGAGAACAGGGCAGACGGGATCTCGCAATTGATCAAGGGTCGAGGTGGCGGCAGCACCAGAAACAAGACGGCGATGAGGTGCCTGAAGGACCTCAAAAAGAAAATCAGACATGTGATCACCATGGAAGCTGTTCTTCACAGAATCCCTCGAGGTGGTGGAATGTCCTCTGCCTCTTCCTCTGCCTCTGCCTCTGCCTCTGCGAAACAGCAATCGTCGTCACCAACGAATAAAAAAGAAGGCGGGAAGGAGAATGTGGTGGTGATGATGAGTCCAAGGAAGAGCTATGAAGGTGACTGCTGCAAATACCTTCTAGCCAGCAAGAGTGAGAATCAGAGGTTGAAGAGAACTTCCTCGCTCTGCGAATCCTTGGACAAGTATTGTCAGTTGTACGATTCTACGTTCAACAGAGGTCCTCAGCGCGTGACTGTGAAGCAGAAAACAGAGGACTCGTCGTCGTCGCCGTCGATTTCGCTTCCCGTGGTGGAGGAATCGGGTGCGAAAGAAGATGAATCGACGAGTCCTGATGATCAAACACAAGCATTAGTTGAGCCTGGTGTTGAAATGACATGTGATGATAATGTGGTTTCATCAACTCTGGCTCCTGATGAGTTGATTGTGATGGAAGAGGAAGAGGAAGAGGGAAAGGGAAAGGAGGAAGAACATAGAACTCCAGTGTGTGAGTTATCAGTTGAGGAATCAAACAAGGATCTAGTTGATGAACCAATGTTTGTTATAGAGGAGGATGAAGCCTCAATCTCTGAGGAAGAAGCAATTAGCTCTCCTCCAACCTTCTCCACTTTCAAAGGTGAGTGAAACATTTGAATTACTATACATGTTACTATGTTAGTGTATATAATCTCAAGATTCTATCTTGAGAATGTTCTCCCAAAATTTTGAAGTACTTAAATGAAGATCTTTTTTGACATATTGAAGGAGCCTATGTGACCAAGAGATAGTTATTCAAATCTTTCAAAACCCTAAATTGGCAACAATGACCTTCACTTTCATTCTACATTTCTACTAGATTTGAATCACTATACATTAGTGTATATAATCTAAATATTCTAACTTGAGAACTATTTCTAATATGCAAACAGATTCAGAGCAAATCTTGAGGAATCTCATTGCCAACAAGCTCAACTTCCTGGAAGACCAGAGAGCGAAATCCATCATCGACGAGATCATAGTAGCCGAAGAAGAAATCGACGAGAAGAACGAATTTCAGTCGAAGAACAGCGATCGAGAAGATCACGACGAGGCTGTCGCGTTCAGAGTAGACCCGAACGAAAAGCAGAAGTTCGACTACGTGAAGGGAATCCTCGACATATCGGGTTTCAGCAGGAAGGAGCTCTTGGGAACATGGCACTCCAACGATCAACCGGTGGATCCAGCAGTGTTCGAGGAGGCTGGACTGGACAGCAACTGCTACCACCATCACTTGGCAATGTTCGATCTCATCAATGAAGTTCTGATGGAGATTTATGCAAAGTCTCATACCTATTGCCCCAAGCCATTGTCATGGTTGTCACAAATCAGGCCAATGCCAGTTGGGTCTCATGTGCTGAAGGAGGTTTGGGGGAATGTGAAGTGGAGTTTGAGCTCACTGCCAGATGAGAGTGAGCATTTGCTGGATTATTTGGTTGGCAGGGATTTGGGGAAGAGTGATGGATGGATGAACTTGCAGTTTGATTGTGAGTGTGTAGGGCTTGAGTTAGAAGACTGGATTTTTGATGATCTTTTGGATGAACTTGCTTTTGAGGATGATCCCAGAGGTTTTGCTTTTCGATAATCAATAGCTGAAGGAAGCTTCTGCACATAATTTGGGCTTGTACCAAGTCATCTAGTTACCCTTTCTGATTCATGTATGTATACTAGGTATTGAAAATTTATAAAGGAGAAGTTGAAATCTTTTTATAATGTACATTATTATTTTTTTCAGCTTCCCGTCTTGTGCTTAATTGGTAGTTTTGCTCTCTTAAGTCTCTCAATTCACTGCACAATATTTGCTGCTAACTTCCGTCAACATAGTGAACTCACTGGCAAGTTCCAACATCCATTTCCACACCACCACCTTGGATCTTTCGATATCTCTAATCGTGATCGCAGACACGAAATTCACTAAAACGATACGAACTCTCAATGGAAACCAAAACATCGAGTTGGCCGATTTCATGAAAAGTGGTCACCTACTGTAACTTGTAAGAAAGGAGGGGAAATCTTTTGAATATCTTCTCTATCAGGTCAAAAAACACCTCCCATGATAAAATCAGCAACCTGACCTTAATGCTAAACACATTGCATGGGAAGCACCAACTGCAACGGACAGTACCTTGTGGGGTCCGAGTCCATCATCTTCCATCAGAAACTTCACTTCAACTGGAAGTGGTTGAACTTCAGGCAGCCCAGCGACTCCCAGCTGAAAATCTCTGTTATTTCCCCACGTGTAGAGCTTCCCATCATCAGTAACAGCTGCTGAAGAAGAGCCTCCGCAGGCAATGTAGGTAACATGCTGATCGGCCAAAGCATCGATCACTACTGGGACTTTCTGGTTTTGATTGGATGGATGGCCAAGCTGACCATGCCCACCGAAACCCCACGAAAGCACCTTACCATCATCTGAGGAATGAATAGCAGACAGTTGGTGAATTCTAGAGCTGGAAAGTGAATGGCAAAGATATGATTGGAGCTTCTGTTTGTATAACATTTTCTTACCGGTTAATGCAAGTGAATGATATCCACCACAAGCTATCTGAGTGACACAGACATCTTCAAGATGACGAATAGGTTCTGGTTTCCAACCACCTATCTTATTGCCTCTTCCAAGCTCATAGTTTGAGTTCGCTAAACCAAAAGACCAATAACAGGAGTGTTAACCAACAATGGGGGAAATGAGAGAGTATACCGGACACCATAGCATTTCATGAATCTGAAGATATCAAAATTCCTTGAGCAGATCGTCGGCTTTCATAAGTTGAAGTTCATAACAGTCTTAGAAGTCCATACACCAAACAACTAATACCATTTTAAGCGACCAAATTGTCACCCTGATTCTGAATCAATAAACACTTCAGCATACAACAACCATGGTGCATATACAATGGAAACATAAATAGAACCCAGACATATTGCCCAAGACATCTTCAAGATGACGGATAGTTGTCGAGCTATCATATTGCCCACCGACTTCCAACCACCTATATTTTGGGCAATATAGCTTTAGCTATCACAAGAAACCTAAAGCTATATGAGTTGGAAGTCGGTGCAAAAGGTGACATACTGCCCAAATATACTGACAAAAATTGAATCATGGAAGAACACCGAACGGCCAGGAAAAGGTTGCTACGAGTTGAGAGGTCAGGGGCACAAAAAAGAACAAGAATACAAACGGTAATTGGATCAAAATCTTTACCTCCCCAATTCCATATTTTCCCATCCTTAGTAAGCACCATCGTGAAGAACCCACCACAAGAAACAGCAGCGACTGGAACAGACAACGCCTTAACTTTAGAAGGGATACTTAGTCCGCCACCTTCATTTGGACCTCGACCAGGACCAAGCCCAAGCCTACCATCCCCTTCATCACGGCCCCAAGTATAAAGCTCACCTACACATAACTAAGCTTTCAAAGTTGCTGGTGAACTCAAAATCTTACAAACATTACAAACTACATCATTGAATGGGAGTGCCTATTTCAATAGTGAATTGAAGTAGACGCGAAAACATAGGTATGCATTTTTACCCAAAATAAGATGAAAAAGTAGGTGCATAAAATGGATGTATACATTTGAAAAGTCATGTAGGTATCTTTTAAGTGCATAGATCAAAGTTCAAAGGGAAAGAAAGTTGCAGCAACACACCTTTCTCTGTGATGGCAGCAGTATGTGTTCCACTAGTTGCAATAGAGTCAAATTTCTCAGTCACAATACCTTCTACCAACCTGGGCAACAACTCTCTATGATAAACAGAATGCCCCAATGCGCCAAACCCACCATAGCCCCTGCAATGTCTTCCCCGACATGTCATACCATCAAATTTTTGTGCAAGATTGACAACAATTATCACAAGAAGTTTAAAATAATGTTTGTTCCAATGGCATACCATAAAACTTCATTGAGAATTATTACACCAAATCCAAAACTAAAAGACAACAAGCCATACTTTTTACCTTTGGAAGACATCATTAAACTACAAATTTCAGAAAGCTTAGCTTTCACATATCAAGGCATTAATTCAATTAGAAGTACAATCCCTGAAATATCTTCCACAAGGAGTAGAATGTAACACATACATTGACGTATAGAAAAGTACACATAACATATAGTGAAAGAAAAGTGAATAGACAACTACTAGGCTGTCCGTATTTTATCTTCTTTTCTTTCACAAAGGTCCCACAGCCTCAAGTTCAGAATCATCAAGAAACAACGGTAACACAGAATAAATTTGTAATACTCACCATGTAAAAATTTCACCAGAGGAAGTGAGGGCAACAGAGTGAACTCCACCCAAAGCAATGGAGCGAATGGCATCCAAGTAAGGGTTCAAAGTTGGAACAAATGCAATATTTTCATGGCCAAGGCCAAGACGGCCACCATCACCTTTACCCCAGATCCACAACTTACCATCCACAAGCAAAGCTGAATGGAATAAGCCACAAGAAATGCCAATTTCAGTCATTTGTTTAGCGTTGTTTTGGATATCAAGCCTGGACTTAAGCAACTGCCCTGGGGTTGGAGAAAAACTGAAGGAGGAACTCAATACATGAAGGTTTGCTACAGCAGCAGGGTAGAGTCGAATTTCTTCGATGCCACCACCAAGCTGACCAGAGGCACCTCTGCCCCAGGAGAGGAGCTGCAGAGTTATGGCATCATTTTCATTGCTGAGTTCTGGGCTTCGGTATATAATGGGAGTCTCATTGGTGCTTTTAGCAGAGGTAGAAGCAGAAGATATGTGACGCCTGAAACAAAAAATGTGGCGTTGGCGGCGGAGAAACAGCATTATGTTGTTGTCACAAAGAAGGACAGCCTGGAACTTGTGAGAACCTAAATCTCTCCAGCCTGCGACCAAAAGAACCAGAAATCAGCCAAAAAAAACCTATAAATAAACTTAGCAATATCTCATGCAGAATTGGTATGGAGAACAGTAAAACAAAATTAACTCAAACTGCACACTGTTAAAACACCTTATCCAAACCAATACAGCACTGCAAACAGTGCTGACAGAACATGATTTTTAACCTGTCTCCCAATGAGTATATAGTACAAGAACAGAGAAGCTACTATAGTTAAAAATTAAAGACACATAATAAAAGTCCCTTTTCTCCTACCCTGAAGGAGTTTGGGAAAGGAACAAGCTAGTCAAACCATTTAAAACATAGTGTCACAACGTCTGATGCACGTGAAAAGGAAAGAAGACATTTGCGGAAATTTAAACAAATCCAAACCGAAGCACCCCAAGGGACAAAATAACCATTAAGGTAACACTAAAGGGCAGAAGACGAGAGGCAGAGGGCAGGTGCTAAGTGTATTGCAGTTTGAGGTACAAAAAGGATGCAAAGTAAACTAAAGCACACGGTGGGATGGCCAACCAATACATAGATAGTTAGTATCAATAACAGCTATGCTAGGAGAAGGCAACTAGACGCAGCCAAACACAGTAATCCCATGTTCACCTGTTCAATCAGATACAACAAGAAGCCGTTCGCAAACATTTTCGATTCTCGTTTCTTTTAAAGAACTCAAATTGTTAAATACTCACAATAGTCTGTTACTGCTAGAGTAAAAAATGGTTAAAGGACCAGCAATAAGCAAAGCAAGTTGTGGCTCGACAACAGCAGGCAGAAACCGTCAAACTGAAATGGGAAGGTTAAGTTCCCTGGACTTTCCAATGTTTCCCTTATAAGTAAGGGCAGGTCAGTGGGAAATGATAATTGCAGCTCCATCCCAGCTTCCCTTCTCGGCCTTTCCGCAGGGAGCTTGGCTTGGTCTTATCACGTGTAGGTTAAAAGATGAAGAAGGGTGTTTGTCAGAAGTTGCTTGAAGACTCCAAATTGATTTATTTCATCCTAATGGAACTAAAAGCTTTTTCTGGTGCCTGGCCAAGCTGCCATTTTTTTAACACAAAGTTGCAGGTTTGACAGCTTCTTCTCATAGTTACTTTGGTTTGGATGTAACTATGACTCCAATACAGGTATCTCATCTAGATTTCTATGTCTGCCAATGCCAATTTGAAAAACGGAAGAAAAGAGCAAGGGGATTCAGACATGTTCCTTAGTCACTGGACTGAGAAATACTCACTCTAGTGTTTCCCTGAGTCAGTTCCCAAATTTGACGTTCAACACATGTTTGCAAGCAATTTCAGTGTACTTAACAAATAACTCAAGTGGGATACCCTTCAATTCATTGCCAAACACAAGAAGAGGGAAAGTGGACTCTCAAATGTTGGGATTAAAGGAAAAAGGCTTTGGCTTGAAGTACCAGAAACCTTGACATGCGCTTAAAATGTAAGTTTCATTATTACAGAACCAAACAGTTGGGGATGGACAAGAGCAAACCTTCAAGCAAAAGATCAGAACATCAACTGCCCAATTGACGCTGCACGGAGCCGGGAATCCCAGTGAGCAGCAGAAGCGGTGTAAGGGAAATAGCGACGGCGGCCCTCCCTGTCAGCGGCGGCGGGATTCAGCCTCAGCGGGAGGAGGAGGGGAAACGGCGGCGACGAAAATTCGAATAATCTCCGGAAAAGGGAAGTGAGGGAGAATGATGAGGGAGAGGATACCAGTATCGACTTTATTAATTTGTGTTAGAAAGTATAGTATTTAACACGTACCTTTTTTTTCTTCCACAAGCATACCCTTCAACTATGAACAACTTACAAATGTGTCCTTCTGTCAACATCACCGTCAAATCAACATCGAAATAAAATAAAATTTCAAGATTATCCCTCGTTATTATTAGAAATCATACAGGACGCTGTTTAGTAGTGTTTCGCGAACAACCTCTTCGTTCGTTCTATAATCCAATTTGAATTAAGAGGTACAATAGAGGGAGTTCAATTGACATGGAATTTTGGTTATCATCGACTACAGGTGCAACCAGATACCAAATATGCGGTGCAACTTCTCCTCCAAATTGAGGGCGATGATCATCGTCACACAGTAGCTATTTAGCGATTCCATGAGCTTTAATATTATTACTAAGAAGTCATAATTAATCATATATATCGAGATGTTAATAAGTATGTGGATTTTTTAGTTGATCAAGGTGATAGGTTGCCTCTTGGCTTTCATAGTATTATAGAGTTCGGTCTTTTTTTTTTCTCCTATTGGTTTATGTATGACATTCAGAGAATTTTTGAATCCCGATTGATATTGAATGAAGGTTAGTATGCTTTGCATCTATTTATGAAAAAAAATTCATAAAGATAATGGTAAAATTATGGCATGGTAAATACACATAGTAAAAAGCCATCAAGTTCCAATTTCACTAAGTATTGAATTAACGTCAATCGAGCTTCCTCTAGAGCTTTCAATCTCCTCCGGATGGTCTGATTGAGTCTCTTGTTGGGTTTTTGGAGCTCCTACATCTCTTCAATGTGAGCGTGAGATCATTCGTAATCCTAGTTTCATGTTACTAACGAAATAAGCAACTAACATACATAAATGCCCATGCTCATCAGCTCGTGTAATCCTTGTGGGTTAAGAATAACTTAGTTTACTTGAAATATATTTTCTCAAAAAAGGACCTCGAGGTCAGCCTAACTAGTGCAACCTTCTAACCACCAAAATATAACATAAACATGAACCTTTCTTCACTATGAGAGGATTTAACCACACACTAATTAATTAGAACGATCGTCCGGTGTCAAAATGCCGTGCAACAGGGTTTCCTCCCAAACACCCTATTGCACGCTCTAAACGATTATACGTTACCTCGTGTACTTGAATATAACCTCTTAATCCGAAAGAGAAGAATAACATGACATGACACGACACTTTCTCACTCTTAGGAGTGAAGTGGCCGTGAAAACGTGCTCCTACTTATTTGTTCAACATAAAATAAAATAAAGAGGAACTGAATCGTTCTTTTCCTGAAAATAGAACCTCCTCAGAAATTCAGAGTTTTGGCGACAAATGAAATGGTGAAGCCAGAGCAACTCTTATGGTTGTTCCCAGAGAAGCGTGGTGTGAGCAATCATGGAAGTGACGACGTAAGGGTCCATGTTGGAAGACGGCCTCCTGTCTTCAAAGTATCCTCTCCCTTCCTTCTCCGTCTTCCTCCCAACTCGAATCGACGCTCCACGGTCTGCAACTCCCTGCAAAATACACACACATACCATATTTGTGTACATTCTCAAACATTATTTTACTCTGTCTGCTCTTTGCTAGCAAACAGTGTAGTTCATAGTTTCATACCCATGAGAAGGTGTTGATCTCGGCCGTCTCGTGGCGTCCGGTAAGCCGACGCTCGTTGCCTTCGCCGTAGGCGGCGATGTGGTCTGCGTGCCTGAGCTGCAGCTTGTGGATTGCTTTCTTGATCAGTTCAAATCCTCCTTCCTCCTCCCTCATTGCCTTGGTGCTGTATGTTAGATTATATAGAGATTAGGTACCACTATGTAATTTATATTTTAGGGTTTGGTACTGGTTGTATGTTACGTTGAAGATTGAGAAAATAAGAAAAGATAAAAACTCGAGAGAAATCCTCTCCGTGGACTAACGTTTGCATTAAATTATTCGACAATGTACTCGTCATTTCCCAATTCCCAAGTTGTTACCTGAAATTTGTGTGCGCGCTAGCTCCATTCCAGTCACCCTGTCACTCAACATCAAGGGAGAATAGATTTGTACGTAAATCGGGAATTCGCGACTCGCCCATGATAAAAACTAAAGCGCGAATTTTGATTGCATTGGTTACCTACCTCGATGGGTTTGGGGTCGAGGGAAAGCACAACTCCAGCCATCTCAGTGATCCTCTGTTCCCCCACACGAATATTAGAGGAACAATGCTCAATATGGAATTCTTGTTAATTATGAGGGGAAAAGAAAACAGAGACCAAAATTTGTTACCTCAAGAATGTAGCGAGCTACCCATAGCTCATCTGCTGCAGAAATGCCTGGTGATGGCCCAATTTGGAACTCCCACTGCAAACAACGTAATTAGAAACATTTCGTTGTAAATTTGTCGAGTAATCATGCAATCAGGATGTGTGTCGTCTTTGACAAAATTTCCCTCGTATCGCGAAAAAAAAAATGTCAACGAATAATCATTAGATGTGACGAATTTTCCAAGTAAGTCAAAACAACGACCTGGCCTGGCATGACTTCGGCGTTGATGCCACTGATGTTAATGCCTGCATAAAGACAGGCATTGTAGTGTGCATCCACTATCTCCCTTCCAAACGCCTTGTCCGCTCCAATCCCGCAGTAATAAGGTCCCTGTAACAAAACTTGTTACATATCGTATCGTATATAAATCTCTCTCAACAACTCGAGTTATTGATATTCCATTACACTTTGTTTGAAAGTATGATTAATTACCTGAGGGCCTGGATAGCCTCCAAGCGGCCAGCCGAGTGGCCGGTTGGCATCTTTCCGGAGCAGAGTGTACTCTGCTCAATCCCAAACAGGGGCTCCTCCGCTTTGATTTGTCCGAAAATGTTGGCCGCCGCGTGTCTCTTGTTCGTCGGAATCGGGTCCCCCGAAGGAGAGTAAGCATCGCACATCACCAGCAGGTGGTGGTTTCCCCTCCTGAACGGGTCCCTGAAGATCACCTGCGGACTGCATATGCCCACCATGGTATAAATTATAAGAAACAGGGAAGCCATTGCAGCTAGCGGCGAGAAAGAAGTCTGTCTTTCTATATCTTACTAGAGGATGACTTCGCTGTCTTCTCCGGCTGCCTGGCCGGTGCTGGATCCGTCGTAATTCCACCTCGGGAGCTTCGCAGGGTCGCCCACAGGTCCAGAAAGTGTCTTTTTTGAGACCCAAAAAAACAACAAGGAAAGAGTTAACATCAGTGTCGTAGTTGTTATAAACGCGTCGCTACGGATCAGAAAAATCGTCGGAATCGACAAAACAAGAATACAAAAGCGAGAATCGAAAACACGACACACGATTTACGTGGTTCACTAACACACATGATGTGTGTTAGCTAGTCCACGGGCGCGCGAGAAAGAGCCAGTTTCACTATATCGAGGAAATTACAGATTACAGATGGGATGAGACCCCCCGACTAATCCAGTCGTAGCGGGTGTGATAGTCCGATTCAAGCCACATCAATCAACCGTTGTAATGAATTTTCAGATGTTTGTGTTTATAGTTAGGGGGGAATCTTTACCCTTGCTTTGCTTCTCTTGTCCATCCCAGACCCACCAATCCTGTTGCAAAATACCACATCAGAGATGCAATAGAAACGGTGGAGGAAGGATCGTTGTATATTAGTATCCATCTAGTCGAATTAGTACGAGGGAAAAGCATATATATGCAGTTGATAGTAGCTAACCATATGTATTCGGCGATGACCTTCTCGGTGGTGTCGGAGAGGTTGATGAGATCTGATAAACGAGACATGTTTCTTTAATTTCTCTCCGTTTTGCTTACTACTTCTGATCCTCGTCTCTGCTACTTGTTCTGTGATGAATGGTATACTATTTTATACTGCAATTTCGAGTGCTCACCTCAGCTCACGTGAAACTTTTAAAATGAGACCAAAAAATACAATGATGGAAGCTTTTGGGACTTGGGAAGGTTCATTGAAAGACGGTGTGCTTTCTTTCCCCGGTGAACTGAAGCGGTGGCTTTTGTATTTCTTATTTATGCCGACGTTGTTGTAACTTGTAAATCCGCTGATGATGTGGTATGAATATATGATTTTTTTTCATGTATCCTAAAAAAATTTTAAAGTCTAAAATGAAACCCACGTACTATCCCTTATCCCCACCGTATTTCCAACGTCTTGAACGTATCGTTTGGTATGAATAAATTTCATAAGCTTTGAGGAATTCATTTGGAAATGGAACATTTTTGTGTGTTGGTATTTAAAAGAATTCATTGTCAATTCTAATTTTTGAATTCTATGGAATTGGAACTAGTTATAGCAATTCCGAGGAATTGAGATGGAATTTCCAAACGAATTCCTCAAAATCCTCTTTTTTTAACTAAATTACTTATACATATGACACACCAAACACAAGAATTCACTTGGCAATGAATTCTACACTACAATTCATTTTATTTCTAAAGATTTGAATATGACATACCGAACCCAATAATTCATTTGATAATGAATTCTACTCGATAATTCATTTTACAATGAAATGAATTCTCGATTCATTTGGTAGTTGGTACCAAAACGGTCTGGGTTGTTAAAAAGATTAAATGCACAAACAAACACATTAATTTTAGTTGTTATATTTTTTTCCATGTAGTACAAGATTTGTATAACTTGAGGGGTCGTTTGGATGGATCAATCTAGAAATGAGTCAATTCGATCAATTGTCTCGTTTTATAAACGAGGCAATTAAAACGAGTCAATTCGAATTACCTGCCCCCACCCCCAAGTAATTGAAATTGACTCAAAACGGATCAATTTAAAATATCTCAGGCAGATTGATCCATCCATATTTTTTGCTGACAAACGAGACAATTTGATACAATTGTCTCAAAACGAGACAATTGTGTCAAATTAATCCGTTACAATTCCTCATCCAAATGACCCCTAATCCATAAATTTAGACGTAACACCAATTCCAAAATACTTTTTTTTTTTTTTTGAAAGGTTCAAAATACATTTTTGGTACCATTTTATTACATTCTAAACATTTTCATCATATTTTCATAATTTTCAAATCTATATGACCATTTTGGTCCATTAGCCCGAGTTTACCTCTCCCTAGGTGGCCTCGTCTTCTTCATTCAATCCCAAACTTCGCACAGAAACCCAGTGGAAGTCGAACAAACCAGAAACCGAAAACCCCAAATCCCATGTCATAACTCATAGGTCTGGACCCTAAATTCCTCGTCTTTCTCCATTTCAATTCCGCGTTTTAAGTTCCCATTTCCCAATCTTGATTCCTCTTCTCGTCCCTGCCATGCCAAGAAAGCAGTTGTCTTTCACTCTCGGCCGCCCACGGAGCTTATCATCTCGCCTGCAATTCTCGAACTAGTCATCTTCTCTGTAAGTTTCCTCTCATTGAGGTATATGCTCCTTTCCTTTTTTCCCCCTCGACAACGTAACTAAACCTTATGCTAGCTACTTGTTTTTCCTAGGTGGCTCCATAAAAATTGGGGGGTTGGCACCGTAACTGATGTTCAGGAACAGCAACATTACTGCTCGGCTTTTCGACCGCCAAATCTCAGCTCCTGCTCCTGGAACTAGTGTATTTTCCCTGCTGAACTTCGTATTTCATCTGCTTACTGTGCCCTGAAATTCCTTACTACCAGTCATGTTGCTTCTGTTTCTTGAATTGCAATGTAGTCTGCTAGGTTCAGTAATCAGCATATGGTACTAGTTCAAGAAGCCACATTCTTACCCGGAATTTTTTTTTTTTTGGGTGGTCTTATAGCCTCGTGTTCCCATTTTGACTTAATGGAGACCATTATAATTTAGGGTTGCTGTCCTAATTAAATAATACATATGGGTGCTCCTTCGATTAAAAATTTATGCTTTCTCTGTTTTATGCACATTATGGCTCTTGATGATGACATGTTGGCTTTGCAGGTTAACTGCAATAGAAGATTTTATGAGAATTTAGTCCCGAGTCATACCATCTATGATGTTGAGTGCCCGGATCTTTCATTCTGTAAATTTACTCATGATGGTCGATACCTCATCACCTTTAGTAGGAACCACCAGGATCTAATAGTATACAGGCCGACATGGTTGTCGTATTCGTGCGAAGGAGAAGTTTGTGATCTACCCTCGAAAGCGAGGAGGTTTGAGAGTTTCTTCACCCAACTGTACAGTGTCACACTTGCTTCGTCGGGCACTGATGTTATATGTAAAGAATTTTTCCTTTACATGGAGGGTAACCAGTTTGGCATATTTGCTACATCTACAACACAAATTCAGGACACTCCAGCTATTGGAGGTGCTATTCAGGGAGTTCCTTCTTTTGAGAGGATTGCATTTCATCTCTTGAGGTTGGAATGCCTTATCATCAGTATAGATGTTATTTATGAGATTTGATTGAGTTCTTTCCAGTACTAGTTTTAATTCTTTGTTGCACATTTCAATGGTCAGATTGGAAGATGGAATAGTACTTGATGAGAAGGTCTTTCAGAACGATTATGTTAATTTGAACCATGACATGGGTGTCTTGTATGATGATCTACTAGCAATAGTGTCGATTCGCTATCAAAGGATACAGATTCTCCAGATCAGGGAATCTGGCCACCTTGTTGATGTTCGTGCTTTAGGTGCATTCTGTTACGAAGATGATGAACTTTTCCTCAATTCTAGCTCTCAGGTAAGTGGCATCTTTTATTTTTCTTTTTCTGCAAACTTTTCAGCCTTTCTCTTGATCTGGCTTTCGAATTTGTGCAATCATTGGAGTGTGGCTTCAGTTCTCTGAGAGTTAACGTGGCTTCTCTTGCCTGTGTCTACCTGACCCTTCTGTCAGCTGCACATGTGAAGGGAAAGATGATCTATTGTATTTGTATCTTGAAGTTTGGAATTGATTGTTGGAGTATCTATTGCAGTGCATGCATCAACTCTCAGAGAATCATGCTGAGAATGGTTTACATGCCAATCAGCCCAATCCAGATAGTCTCTTTTTGAGTGGTATCAAGCAGCGGTTGCTGTCCTTTATCTTTCGGGGAATATGGAATGAGGAAGTTGACAGATCACAGGTTCATTATTTTACTCACCTTTTCTTAAAATCTGTGGCAAATAAACTAGAACTGCATGTTTCAAGTGCTAATAATGTACTTGAGTTATGGACCTAGACATACTAGAAAGAAAAGTGGAATGAGGGGATAAGGTGCTTCTGCTTCATTTTTCTCGATGGTTCTTTAGTTCATTGTGAACTATTCATGGTTCTTACATAATGGTCTCTCCATCGTCTGCTTGAAGTTCTGTAAACTGAATGAAGGGGAAAGAAACAAATGAACTAGGTGATGAACACTATAGCAGTAGTGCGTGAAAGTGGTAGTCATCATATTCATATAGGTTTTCTATGCAGCTGAGTTCAGTGAGAACCAATGAATTGGTTGCCGTATGCTGTCTTTTCTCTTTATTTGGAGAAGTTGGAATCGTTGAACCTAAAAACTCAAAGTAAATGCTAGTGTGTGATCCTGGCTTTAATGGGCTTCTCTTATTTATTTTTACACGAGAAGGTTGATACATTTCAATATAGCAGCATGATGTGATGTGTGGCAAATTAGAAGTGGAAAATGCGAGGACAACCTCTCATCTTCACTTTGCTAGCACCTTTGCTAAATTATTATAGCTGTATCGTCAGGGTAAGATTGACAAGTACTTATTACTTTCATTGTTCTGTTTATCTTGTAGACAGTTCAATCAATGAAGAAGAAGTTCTATTTCCACTTTCAAGATTATGTGGACCTGATTATCTGGAAGGTACTGAATTAGCTTTTTTCCTTTTTTTCACTAGTCTTTAGTCTGTACAACATCAGCGAATGATATCTTATATATAGGAAATAACTAATGTGTCATTCATGTTATATGACAAAATTCATCTTTGTTCAGGTACAGTTTCTGGATCGTCATCACCTGCTTATCAAGTTTGGTAGTGTAGAAGGAGTGGTGAGCCATTTCTTCTTTCTTGCTTTCAAGTTTTAGCTTCATTATATGATCGATGTTATGTGCCTATCATTTAGTTTAGATTTAATTTAGCTTCATTATATGATTGATGTTATATGCCTTGTAGCATACATGAGTATAATTGTTCCTGTTATTTAGTTTAGATTTGATGCTACGCCAAGTCTCTTGATCATGGTGATTTATGTTTGTAGCTTCAATACTCTCGAAGTGCTGATCACCATCCATCATTCTTTGCAGTATATAACATGGAGACAACTGAAGTTGTTGCATTTTACCCGGTATTATTTCATGGGCATTAGTTCTATTATAAATGACGTTAAAAAATGTCTTTTCTGCGTTTGTTGCTCTAATATTCTCTTTTCCTCTGCAGAATTCAGCCTATGAACTTTGTGGCTTGTTTGAGCAGTTCGGCGATCATTTCTATTCAGCATCAAGAAATTTGTTGCACTTGAAATTTATATCATCCCACTCCAATAACATCCATGCTTCTGACCAACTCCGGATCGTGAAGAATAAAGCTAGTAGCTCTTTGCAGGTTGAATCTTTGCTGTGCCCACCATTGTCTGCTAGTGCTGCCATTCACTTGACTTTTTGTTTGATCTTTATGTTGCTTTGGTTCCTAATGTCAGTAGTGTGATTATTTGGTCCTTCTTGTATCATCATTAGAATAACCACGTTTGAGTTAATGATTTTTGCAGTTCATAAGGAAGATACTGGCTTCTCTGCCTTTCAATTGTCAGTCACAAAGTCCTTCGCCCTATTTTGACCATTCTCTCTTCCGCTATGACGAAAAGGTTTGATTTTCACTAACATGGAATTCTCCTCCCTGTTTCATTTGTTTGTTCCCTATAAGGTCCCCAGCTTGTTGAATGCTCAAAAGAAAATATGGATATCACTTAAGCAATCATCCTGTGCATTCTTTATGTTTTTGTTATTCTTTCACAATGATCATGTCTTTGTTGAGAGTATCAAAGTAATGTCTTCTAAGGATATGCTATTTCGATCTGTAGTTGATCTCTGCAACAGAGAGACATAGAACATCTGTGGATCATCCCATTAAGTTCATTTCCAGAAGGCAGCCGTCCGTGCTCAAGTTCAAGATTAAGCCAGGTAAAACGCTTGTTTGCTTCCACTAAACTGAATGCAGAAAGATGCACATCATATGACATGGATTATGGAATTTTCTTTTTGGTAGTTAAAAGCTTATCAGCTGGTTTCCCTGATAAAGAAAAAAACTTGGTCTATTTTTAGGTCCAGAAGCTGGTAATGTGGATAATCGAACGAGGAAGGCATCTTCTTTCCTCTTCCATCCTTTTCTGCCACTGGCTCTCTCCATTCAACAATCTATGCATTTCCCGCCGTCGATGAACATCCATTACCGGCAATGAAGACGACCCTTTCCCCCTTTCCGTTCCTATACTACCTGGGTTTTCATCATGAAACTACATCTCCAAACGAACTGCTGCGGCTTGTTGTGAGGAAGATGTATATCCTCGCTATGTGAACTCTTATTCCGGATCGAGGAAGTTGGTATTAGACAATTACCATCGCGTTTTTCAGAGGAATCACGCGAATTTTCCAACGGGTTTGTTTGATCTTCCCCTCAATATCAATGTATAAAATTTGCTGTACGGTGTAATGAATGCCAGAGAAGATTAGATCCCTAATCTTTTGTGATTTCCTTTCTATATTTTTCTTTGATTTGTGGTTCTAATTCTTACGAGTGCTCGAGAAGTCATCCGAAAATTTTGTACGTAACATGCTGCGTATCGAGTGCTAAAGTTAACTTAATCCGATTTTTCAACGAAGATGAAGTTAGCGAGCTGCAACCAGTGGATTTTGTTGAAGCAGAATTAGAAACAGAACAGAGCACATCCAAGAACTGAAAATACTCAATAACAAAAGCAACCAGACCACTAATTCTTGATTGAACAATGGAGTAAATTACAAACCCTAACTCCGTCCGTTCGTCCATCTTTCTGGATTGAACAGGATTCATTCAATCTCTCACCACTAACTTAATCAAACAGCCGCAAGATAATTCCCGCCACCATAACACGAAGCGGAGAGGCGAGTATCATCATTACGGTGGTCACGATGATGATAATAATAATCAGGATGTGGGTACGTCACCGGAACTACATTCACCGGCACCGGAACCGCCACATGATACACAGGATGACAGCAACCCACCACCACCGCCGACGGCGGCTGAACAACTCCCTGCCGACGACTCTGCCTCGGAATTCTGCCGCCAATTCCATAGAGAAAATCAACATAACAATCCTGCCCGACGACGTGCTTCACCTTCTTCTTCAGCTTCGAGTAAACGAGCGCCGTCAGCAGACTATCCGACCCGGCGGTGTGCGCCTCCCCGCGCCGCTTCACCCCCAGCTCGTCGGCGAGCCTCTGCAAACCGACCTCGCCGCCGCCGGCCAAATACCTCGCCGCATACTTCACGTCCACCACCGCGTCGAACCCTTTCCCCAACATCTCCCCGAAATCCGCGGCGGTGTCCGGAATGGGCCTGCGGCCCACGACTTTGACGATATGGGCCAGGTCGTACAGCCCGTGGAACGTGACCCAAGTGAGCGGCCTGCTCCGTCGGCCGATCAGCCCACCGAACGCGGCCCCGAACTGGACCCGCTCGATCCCGTGGACCTTCAGCTTCGCGAAATCGACGCCGTGGGCCTGTAAGAAGCGGATGGATTCCTTGGCGTGCAAGTCTCTGTCCAGGTCGAACTCCAGGTTGAACTGCCAGATTGCGGCGACGGTGCCCTTTTCGTTGGAGAGAGTGACGCCCAATTGGATCAAATCCGTGCTGTCCACGTTGTGCTTCATGTCGGCGAACCGGACCTCCTCGCCGGCGTGCCGCGGCGTCGGCCGGAGGCAGCCCGGGAATTCGGCGTCGACGGAGACGATTGGGTAGTTGCTGAGTGTGTCTTCCATGGCTGAAATTTCTTCGGCGAGGTTGTGGTTCCAGACTTCGCGAACGTGGAAACCCATGGCGGCGATCGGACGGCGGACAATTTCTCTTTAATTACGACTTGTAGTAGGAAACGAAATACTGCTGCGGTGAGAGAGGGAGTAGTAAGAGAGCGAAACTTGGGAGTGAAGTTTGGAACTGGCAAGTGTGATGCTGAATTTATAGAGAGGCTGGCTTCGGCTCTTTCTGTTTGACCGTTGGAAGGAAGGAAATCCTTGTTCGGGTCGGAAACCGACTTGCAGGTAATTAATTCCTTGCTGGCCTAGGAATGGAATGGGTTTTGCTTTGCAAGCATTTGTTAGGTGAAGTTAAAACCCTAGAAAATCAGAAGACGGCCAGTGTGCTGGCAAGTATTTTGGATTAATATCCTATTTGGCACGAAATTATTTTTAAAAGAAATATTTGGTCAAAACTTTCAAGAATAATCAAATTCTAAAATAAAATATTTGGTTGGCTTATAATTGGTCGTTAATACCAACGGTCAACTCTTTTTATCGTTAAGGACCAGCAAAAACAAAGATGATGTGGCTACTGCGCGCGCATGACGTAACGGACTCCGATAGGAACCTCTTCGTGGAAAGGGAGGAGTGTCACGGCCTACCGGGAAAGCCGAAGGAAGCAATCAAACTGGAGAGGATCAGCAGACTAATATGCTACTGGAGTATACGATCCTCCTAGTGATAATCCTCTGTCTATAACATGACTTAAACGGAGTTTGAGGTACGATATTATACCATAATTTGTGATGGATAAAAAGTTCATGCGCTGATTCTCTAAAATCAAACCTAAAAATCAATTTAATCAATAAAAAAGTCGATGCTTCTGATTCCCTGTAGTACAACGAATTACATATAACTACCAGATCATTTGGAGTTCGATATACTCCTGTGGTACGCCATTGATAACGACTAGTGTACTTCTGAAGTATACCATATTCCAAGTGATATGGCTATGGGATGTACTTTGCTAGAACTTCGACAAATCAGAACCCTCGATCATTATTTTTTATTAAGGGGTCGTTTGGAGGTTGAGATTTGAAGTGAGGTATTTAACAAATACATGTAATGATAAGATTAAGTCGTTTTTTTGGTTCACTTTGAGTTAGAATGCATGCATTACCTTTTTGTTGGGCCCACCTACAATCACTCAAAATGAATGATTATAAATCTCTACTAAAAGGTGAGATTGTTAATGAGGGATTGTCTACCCTACTTTTTGTTTCATCATTGCTCTTCCAAACAAAGTATTTTCCTAATACATGCATTGAATCAATACATCAAATGATAATACACTAATTGACCTAATACATCAATTTGAAGAATCACAACTTCCAAACGACCCCTAAATTGATTTTTCGTGATTGACTTTAGAGAACCGAGACCTTGGATTTATCTATTAGAGGTTAGATTATAGTATCTTACCTAAAACTCCGTTTAATTCATGGTCTAAATTGTAATATCTCAATATTAATATCCAAAATAACGTACACTCTAGGAGCATAGCGGTTTGATCCAAAATATACATGATAACTTCTATCATTCCTGGGATAAATCTAGAGTACAACAAATTCTAAGTAAAAAAACGCTATGTAAACCTCGAATCAACCAAAAGTTGGGTGCAAACTTTATTTAACATAGAAAAACTAGATGTGGCAAAACTACCCTTAGTTTGCATATACCTTATCAAATTTACACACCTCCAAAATGGACCGAGGTTTCAAATTATAGCTAAGTTTAACCTAAGTTTAATTGTACAAAATTCCATTCCCATGCTCATCGTGACTTGAAGGACAAAAATAATCCTGGGATGTACTAATTATACATACATGATTAAAAAATCGTCTTGAGCTATATTCCACTATGCACACTGAATTTACAGACTCGTATTGGATAAGGGTGGTGCATTGAGCGGATACTATGTTATTACTTATTAGCTTACCCTTCAAAGAGGGACACATTGTCCGACGATCTCTTAGGCTTGGCGCAGTCTGAATGCATCCACCCAATTCTGTTCTTCTCATTATCATACACCACCAGCTGCCCCCTCATCGATATATCTGTCAACAACACAGCACATTAATCACTGAAATGGGTTGTGAAGCTACAAGAAGAAAGAGCATTTTTTCAGGTTTCTAATTGATCATGCATACCTCCTAGTATGATCGTGGAACCATCAAGAACTTCGCTTCCATCGAGTATACCCAAGCATACATTGCCTCCTTTCTGCAGCAGGAACAGATCAGATAATCGTTTTACTTATCATCACTATCCCAGATTGACTTCTCCAGTGGCTAAAATGTTGGTGCAATTCGACGTAAAAGAGGGAGGAGCTTACGCTAATAATCAAGTAGCCCTCTGGATGGATTCGAAACATCCTAGAGATAATCCACCACTTGCTTCCAAACTGAAGGGTCAAAGTCTTGAAGTGCTGCTTTACATCTGCAACAGATCTGCAGAGCATCTCTTCCATAAGCAAATTACTTCAATCAGTCTAAGGTAAATGCAAAAATAGAAAAATTGTCTCTGCTAGACCCATGAATATGGCGGTGACGATTAGAAGGCCCAACACATATAGGCTTCAGCAGCTATGGTGAACATGGCAACTAGTATGTTCCGAGTTTTGACCAACAACTCCAACCATTTCCTTCCGCATCTCGTTACCTTGCAACACGAGCTTCTTGTGCAATACTAAATTACATCTAGAATAGGCACTCTTGTAGGTCAGAAAATAGTTAACCACCCTCTCTGAAACCAGTTGTTACCTAATTGGGAATTCTGCACGCCAGCAGAGAGGCAGTGTCTGGTCTGAAGTATCTTGGGTTAGCCCTACCTTGGCGACTTCCTTGAGCTACATAAGTGCATTGTAATCAGTATCACTGACAAGTGCATGAACTGAAATTTTACTATCAACATGTTAAAAAGGGAAGAAAGAAATACTCACAGAAGCAACTAGTTCAGAATATGCATCTTTTGGCAGATAAGTAAAAGAACTACCACTATCAAACACTACTCGTCTATGTCTGTTGTCTTGGCCACCTAAACTCAGGGATCTGCTTCCATAACTCAACTTCATGATCTGTGCCTGGTAGAAGTCCCTGCACGGGGAGAGTAGAAACCGATAGTCAAGCACTGTGAAGAATATTTGTCAGTCTAGCAATAACAGAAGTTGGACAAGCGTACAATTTACTACACTTCAACATAAAGTGATAACACACTTATCCAATCTAAATTCGCTTACGTGAAAGGCACGCCGAACATAGGAACCCATTGCACACCTCCTTGAGGTAGGAACTCATCACCTAAGAACATATACCCAACGCCATCTACATCAGTGGTAAGGCAATGTCCTACCACATTGGTGATAATCTCTTGGCTTGCCAGCTGAGAAGGTAAGCTAACTTTGGCTCTGCTCAATCCCAGAATTCCATCTGTCCTTGCCAGAGTGTTCAAAAGGGAGCCTTGCTGATCATATGCGCAGCTAGACAAGACCAATGATAAACTAGTAAATATCATCATTTTGTTAACAAGATCAAGTACGTAAAAGGATCTCGTTTTCACAAATAGGAGAATCAAAGATCTTGAGCGTACCCGAAAGTAAACTTGGACTTGGAGGATTCCTCATTTTCTATACTTAGATGAAGTTCGTCATTCGCAAGAACTCCCAAGGAGGAGCTATGATCTGCATATTCGACCTCATAGTCACATTGTTTGCATGCTTCGCATTTTTCAGCCTTCATATTCTTCTGAACTTCCTGGCAAAATGAATCTTCTGGAGGCACGA